GGGCAGGGACCCCGCTCTCCCCGGGCCGCCTCCTGCTGGCGTGGGGATGCACCCGCGCTCTCCTTCCGGACGTCCTTGCTCTGTTGACACGTTCCGTTCCGAGTTGCGCAGATGCCCAGATGGTAGCTGCAGTGTTTACTTCTGGCGGGGCACAGACGCGGCCCAGAAGCTGCGGCTCTAAAAATGGAAATTCCACTCGCTCCCTTGGGCCTCGCCGCCTCCCAGGCAGCCAGGGTACACGTCTCCGGGCTGTGTGCACAGGGTGGCGTCTGCAGTCCCCCCCCGAGCCTCAGTTTCCGCAGCTGAGAGGGCGGGCTGTGGGTTCCTGCGGGTTAGGAGCGAACTTCGCCGTGTCCCTGCTGGGGTGGAGGGAGCATCTTGCAGGTCCCGGGAATCCCGGAGTCAGGGACACTCATTTTCCGCGGGGCTCAGGGCCACTTCTAGAGACTCAGGGCCCGTTCTGGTTGGGGGTCACCTGGGTGGGCCACCGGCCTACCCCGCGTCCTCTGTTCAGGCCGAGTGGGGGCCTGGCCCGGCCCACCTGAGGCGCAAGGTCAGCCTGGCGCCGGGTGGCCTCCCCAGGACTGAACCGTGGGCCAGCAGGGGCCTGCGGCTGCTTCTGGCCAGGCTCACAGGACACTCGTCACCGCACCTGGTGGTGCCGGTGCAGGCCGTGACCCGTGGTGGCCCAGGGCATGTGGCTGGTGAATAAACGGTTGACGGTCACTGAGGGTCCCCGTGCCGCAGCCCCAGGGCTGTGGGAAAGCCCATGAGCCCCCCCCCTCGGTCCCCTGCTGGGTCTGGATGAGAGCGTGTGGGGACCAGAGGGGTGACTTGGCTTCAGGCCCACAGCGTGCACGCGCAGCCCTGCTCGGTCCTGGCACTGCATGTTGTCCCCCAAACGGCACCAGGAGTGGCCCCTGAGCTCTGCTGCATGTGCCCAAACCATCCCCAAGAGAGCACGGTCGTGCCCGGCGGGTCCCTTCCATGCCGCCCCCGGGAGCAGGCTGCCGGTTCCGCAGTAACTCTCGCTCTTCTCTCCGCAGTTCTAAACCGCCCGGCTGTGCGTCTCGTGGCCTCCCCTCGGGCCCCCGTGTCTGCGAAGCGCCCTGCAGCCCTCCCCCGATGGCGGCGAGCTTAGCCCGGGCCTGTCCTGCTGCTGCTCGCGCTCAGGCCCCGGGCCAGGACCAAGTTTCTGACGGTCCGGACGCCCAGACTGCTTTCGGAGCCTGTCGCCTGTCTGTCTTTGTTCTTAAACCACCTCCGTGGCTGTGACTGGTCCCAGTGCGTGTTCCTTTGGGGTCGCTGTGGGCCTGGGCGGGCCTGGAGCCAGCAGGCGACTTCTGTCCCCCCCGCCGCCCTGCTGGCGCAGGCTCCGAATTCCCCCAGGCCCCGCTAGGGCCCTCGCCAGCGCTGACAACTCTTCCCTCGCTCCCTGAGCTCTGCCAGAAGGATGGCGGCCACCTGGCACGGATGGAGGACACGGGCTGACCAGGTGGCCACCCGCCACGCTGCAGTCGGGGCCCCAGCTCGGCCGTGGCGCCTTCAAGGGCCCTGTGCTGAGCTGAGTCGGCGCCACCTGTGCCAGGGGGTCCCTGGAGGGGCCTGGCGGGGCCGCCCTCCGCCAGCTCTGGCCGCCCCACGCTCGCTGTCCTTTTCTGATCCTGGTGGACCTACCCTTGATTAAAGTTTCTTCTTGCCCCATCGGGGCTGCATGAGGTCTGTGTGTGTGAAAGGTGCGGTGGGCTTTCTTGAAGCCCCCAGGGCTCACCCGATGGGTCCCTGGCACAGACCTGCGACCGGGGCCAATGCCACCCACCGCTCACTGCCCTGGGCCTTCCACATAAACTGACGCCACGGCCGAGGAGCAGCCGGCCCTGCTGGGACGGCTTCGGTGTCCCCTCAGGCCTGGTGCCACTGAGTGCTGCCCACTCGCCCAGCCCATGGTGGCGTTTCTACCCTCTTAACCATCAGGTGGGAGTCCGCGAGTAGGACTCTGCCTCACTGGCGTGTGGCCCACCCAGGTTCTGTCCCCCACTCCTCAGGCGACCCTTTAAGTCAGGGTGACCGATAAGTGCAGAGCCAGGAGTGAGGCCTGAGCACTGCTGGGTGTGGCCCGGAACCAAAAGGAAACACTCGGACTCTCCTGCCCTTGGCAGATCCTCCCCGACTCCCCCAGGTGCGCTGGCTCAGGTGAGGTAACCTGACAGGCCAGGGAGGAGGGGTGTAGACTAGGTGCCCTGGAGACCCCCTGTCGCTAATGTCATCTTGGGAGACCCAGGGTGTCGTGGCTGAGGTGGGCAGGCAGAGCTGGTGGTCGGGCCTTGGCTGAGGACGGGGAGGGGGCCCAGTGGGTAAGACGCTCCTCGCCTTCACGAGTCACGGCACCCTGTATGGCTCCCCAAACCCCACTGGAGTGAACCCTGAGTGCAGAGCCTGGAGTCCTGAGCTTGGCCAGGTGTGGCCCCCCAAAAGGATTTTATCCCAGGGCTAGAGAGACAGGACACGGGTAGGGATCCCTGAATGCAGCCCACCTGGGTTGGATTCCAAGGCCCACCGAGAGTGATCTTTGAGCACCGCCAGAGTCGGCTGGCCCGGGTTCGAGCCCCCAGCACCTCGCCCGAGTCCAGAAGACCTCAAAGCCTGGAGGCTGAGGGCCAGGGGGTGGTAGGTGGAGGCAGCAGGGCCTGGGCAGGGCCCGCCTGAGAGCCACCAGCCCTTTGTGACATTGCCTCTGTGACCTGCCGCTGCTTCCAGACTCACGCTGGACAGCAAAGGTCTGCACGGCGGACCAGGCTGCCGCCAGAGGATGGAAACCGGCCGCTCAGCCCTCTCGGGACAGCACTGCCCAGGTGAGCAGCAGGAACCCGGCCACACCCACCTCCTCCTGGCCGCAGCCCCGCCCGAGGCTGACGGCAGATACCCAGCGGGCCTCCCTGGGCACATGCTGTTCAGGAAGGCAGCCCAGGGCAGAGGGACCTCGTGTCTGCACCCACTGCAGACCCGGGCCTCTCCCAGTTCTGGTGAGGGGACAGCAGGGTGGCCGTTTGGATGGTGTAAGTCTGCCTCAGACCAGAGTCACACGGGCGTAATGGTTGAGGCTGGGGCTTGCTCAGACCAGAGCTTCACTGCTGGCTGTGCGTGACTCCAGGCCAGTTAGGTAACACCTGGGGGGCCGTGTGGAGCTGTTCCATGACAGCTCTGCAGCCGAGGGCTCTGCTCTGCCTCAGGCTTGAGCTCAGTCCCCTGCACTGCACGGTCCCACGAGCACTGAGCCAAGAGTAGAGACTGAGCATCACTGGGTGCTACAAAAGACAGACCCAAAAGTGTTTCCTTCAAGAGGTTGGGGGACCAGATGGGGAAAGTGCTGTTGGGCCCATCCGCCCCCCACACTGGAGCCTGGGCTTCCCCCGCACTGTCCACCCCTTCCCCACGCCCTCCCTGGAAGGCTTCCGGGACCCCTGCTCCCCCTCGGTGCGGGCCTTCCCGCCTCAGCGGGGCGGCCCTGAGTGCCCACCTGCTGCTGCTCCTCCCTGACTGTGGTTGCTAGTGGCTATGCGGAGGGAACGAAGAACCAGCCAGGCCGGGCCTCCTGCGGGTTCCGGCTGCTTTATCCCCCCTCCCTGACTTCTGGCTCGGGCCTCGGTTGGGCCTCTCCAAATCCTGAGCAGGACCCGATGGACCATGGCGGGGGGCGGGAGGGGGGGTGTTGAAGTGCCGGCACCCCGATCCTGGTGCAGCCCTGGGCCAGGTGCTGGAGGGGCCTGGGGCTGTCCTGGTCCCAGTGATGCTCACAGTCCGGGTGATGGATAGGGTGGGGGGCGGTCCCGGTCCGGGGGATGATTAGGGTGGGGGACGGTCCCGGGGTCTGCGATGGTCCCGGTCAGGGAGATGGATCGGGCGGGTGGCGGTCCCGATCCTGGTGGTGGTCCCGGTCCGGGTGACGCATAGGGCGGTGGGGGTTGGGCTGGCGGTCCCGGTCCGGGTGATAGATCGGGCGGGGGGCGGTCCCGGTCCGGGTGATAGATCGGGCGGAGGGCGGTCCCGGTCCGGGTGATGGATAAGGCGGGGGGCGGTCCCGGCCCGGGTGCTGGATCGGGCAGGGGGCGGTCCAGGCCCGGGTGACGGCTCGGGCGGGGGGCGGTCCCGGTCCGGGTGATGGATAAGGCGGGGGGCGGTCCAGGCCCGGGTGACGGCTCGGGCGGGGGGCGGTCCCGGTCCGGGTGATGGATAAGGCGGGGGGCGGTCCCGGCCCGGGTGACGGCTCGGGCGGGGGGCGGTCCCGGCCCGGGTGCTGGATCGGGCGGGGGGCGGTCCCGGCCCGGGTGCTGGATCGGGCGGGGGGCGGTCCCGGCCCGGGTGCTGGATCGGGCGGGGGGCGGTCCCGGCCCGGGTGCTGGATCGGGCGGGGGGCGGTCCAGGCCCGGGTGACGGCTCGGGCGGGGGGCGGTCCCGGTCCGGGTGCTGGATCGGGCGGGGGGCGGTCCAGGCCCGGGTGACGGCTCGGGCGGGGGGCGGTCCCGGCCCGGGTGCTGGATCGGAAGGGGGCGGTCCCGGCCCGGGTGCTGGATCGGGCGGGGGGCGGTCCCGGCCCGGGTGATGGATAAGGCGGGGGGGCGGTCCCGGCCCGGGTGCTGGATCGGGCGGGGGGCGGTCCAGGCCCGGGTGATGGATAAGGCGGGGGGGCGGTCCCGGCCCGGGTGCTGGATCGGGCGGGGGGCGGTCCCGGCCCGGGTGCTGGATCGGGCGGGGGGCGGTCCAGGCCCGGGTGACGGAAAGGGCGCGGGGCGGTTCGGGGCGGGCCCAGTTCCCCGGGCGACGGGCGCCAACAGGCGGGCCCTGCGGGCGGGGCGCGGCGCGGCGGCCCGGGTCCCCGAGCTCGGGAGTGTCCAGCGTCCGGGCGCGCCCCCCGCGCCCCCGCGATGGCCCGTCCCCGCCGGGGCGGTGCCCGGCGCCGGGCGCGCCGCCTCCCGGGCCCGGCGAGCGGCGGCGGGGCCGAGGGTCGCTCGCGCGGGGGCCGGGAGCCCCCCGGGGCCGCGCCGCGCGCCGCCGGCCCCAGCCTCGCCCCGCCGCCTCTCCCCGCAGGGTCCCTGCTCCTCTGGCATGGGCTGTCCAAGGCGACCCTCCACATGGGCCGGCTCCGGAACGCCAAGATGCTGGTGGAGACCGCCGTCAAGGTCGGAGACGCCCCCAGCCCCCTGTCCCCCCCGCCCACCCAGGGCAGGGACAGACCCGGGGCCCAGGAGCAGGCAGTGCCCTGGGATACCCCTCCCCAACCCCCAAGGCCTTGGTCCTCTGCCCAACTCTCAATCCTTGCATTTTCCAGCTCTCCCTCCCCGCGTCTCCCCCCAAAGGACTCCAGGCCAGTCCTGCTCCCCCGCCTGACCCCTGCCTGCTCCCCCACCTGGCCCCCTCAGGCGGGACACCCCTTCTTTCCCGTCCCCTCACCCTGACCTGCTCAGCAGAGCTTTCTCCCCAGCATCCCTGACACCCCGACCCTCCACTCTGAGTCCTGTGATTTCTCTCCTGCGCTGAGCACTAGAACGGGGACGCCTGTCCCCTACCCCACCCCGCCCCCCTTCCCACCCCGCACCCCTCTGGCCTGCCCACGGGGCTCCAAGGCTCTGAGCTCTGCCAGTCTTTGCCATCTCTTCAGCCTGGCTTCCGTTCTGTGCCTCCAACCTCCCTCTGGCCTCAGCGCCCTGTGCCTTCCTGTCCACGGCCCAGGCTGTCCACGGCATGGCCCCCAACACCGGAGGCTCCTGCTCTGATGTCAGTCCCGTTTCTCAGGGTCCCCAGGCTTGAAATTCCTGAGACTCAGCCACTGAGAGACCAGCCTCCTCCCCTTCCCTTTCGTGGTTAACCGGGGATCAGAGTGTCAGTGAAAAATGCTCCTTAGGGGCCAGAGCGATGGTCCAGCGTGGAGGGTGTTCGCCTTGCATGCAGCCAACCCAGGTTTCATTCCCGGCATCCCTGTCTGGTCCCCCAAGCACTTCCATTTTTGGGGGGTCACATCCAGCCGATGCTCAGGGGTCACTCCTGGCTCTGCACTCAGGAATCACTCCTGGCAGTGCTCGGGGGACCATATGGGATGCTGGGAATCGAACCTGGGCCGGCCACGTGCAAGGCCACCCTCCCCGCTGTGCTATTATTGCTCCAGCCCCTCCAGGAGTAATTCTTGAGTGCAGAGCCAAGAGTAACCCCTGAGCATGGCCAGCTGTGACCCCAAATGCCAAAAAGAGAAAAAAAATGGAAAAGAGAAATGCTCCTTAGTAACAACCGATCTGTAAGCGCCAAGCATGGGACGGGCGCGTGCATCGGCAGCTGCCGCCTTCCAGGCCCTTGGATCTGCCTCCTGGCCCCCCTCCGGGCCTATTTTTCTACCTGTTTATAGCCTGTCTTCTCCCACCGGAGCGTCAAAGCTTCCTGGGGGCAGGCGCTCACGTGCCAACGGTCTCTCGGGCCTTTATTACTAAACACAAACAGCGGGAAAGGCTCCGGCCTTGCATGTGGCAACCCTGGTTCAAATCCCTGACCCCGCCTAGGGTCTCCCAGCACCGTCAGGGGTCCTTCCTGAGCACAGAGGCAGGAACAGGCCCAGCCCCCTCTCCTCCCCCAAATGAAACCCCTCCCTCTCCCCCGTGCAGCAGAAGAAGATCTTCATGATCCAAGGCCGCTACCCGGTCATCCGCTTCCTGCTGCGCAGGAGGGGCTGGGTGGAGAAGAAGATGCCCAGCTTCGGGGGGGTCGCGCAGGCCACCTCCAAGGAGCTGAGCAGCTCTCTGATGGGGGACAGTTATGACGTGGAGGACGGTGAGCAGCTGAGGCACCTTGAGTGCCCCCCGCCCCGGGGCCCCAGGGGCCGAGGACAGGCCCCTCACCCTCCTGAGCTGTCTCCACAGACGATGACGATGTGGACATGGAGTTCCACTCCTCCCTGTTCAACTTGGAGGGGCTCCTGCAGATGGACGAGCTCGACGGGGTGCACGCGCTCATGGTGAGCCCAGGGTCCCCGGCGCAGCCAGGGGACTGTGGGCACCAGCAGAGCGGAGCCTGGGCCAGTCCTTTGCTTCTCAGGCCTCAGCTTTGCCCTCAAGTGGATACTGATGTCCTTATTGATTTTATTTCTTTTTGTTTGTTTGTTTGAGAGCTACACCCGGCAGTGCTCAGGGGTTCCTGGCAGTGCTTGGGGGACCATACGGGATGCCGGGGATCGAATCTGGGTTGGCGGTGTGCAAGGCAAGAGCCCTCCCTGCTGTGCTATCACTCTGGTCCTCTCCTTTTTATTTATTTCTTCCTGTGTGTGTGTGTGTGTCTGTGTGTCTCTGTGGGCGCGTGTCTGTGTGTGTCTGTGTGGTTGTGTCTGTGTGTGTCTGTGTATTTGTCTGAGTGTCTGTGTATGTATCTATGTGTGTGTGTCTATGTGTGTGTGTGTCTGTGTGGTTGTGTCTGTGTGTGTCTGTGTGTGTGTGTGTGCGCGCGCGCACCTCACCCAGCAGTGCTCGGGAACTCCTCCTGGCCCTGTGTTTGGGAATTGCTCTTGGGGTGCTGGGGGGTGCAGGACATGCCAGGACTCTTGCCTATAGAGCCTGTGCTCCAGCCAGAAATAGGTTTTATTTGGGGGCTACACGCATCTGTCCTTGGGGCTACTCCTGGCTCTGCACTCAGGAATCACTCCTGGTGGGCTTGGGGGAGCATAGACAGTGCTGGGGATCAAACCTGGGCTGGCCGCATGTGAGGCAAATGCCCCACCCACTGTGTTATCACTCTGACCCCCTAGATTTTTTCTGGTGTGTCTCATAGAGGGGCTCAGGCAATGCTGGCCTGAGAGCAGAAGGCTGTTAGGTCAAAAGTTGGCGTTGCTGGGGCCAGAGTGATAGTACAGAGGGGAGGGTGTTTCCCACACAGCTGACCCGGGATCCATCCCCGACTTCCCACATGGACCCCCAAACACCGCCAAAAAGGGATTCCTGAGTGCAGAGCCAGGAGTAACGCCAGGCTGAGCATCCCTAGGTGTGAACCTAAAAGACAAAAAAAAAAAAAGTTGGCATTACCTCCATGCCTAGCAGGCCCCCAGGTTCATTCCTTTCAAAGTGTTTCAAAGTGTCCCCTCAGCTCTCAGAAGTCGCCCCGTTGCAGTGCCCCTGAGGCTGAGGTGGAGACATGGGAACCACAGATGCTCTCAGGTGGGCGTTTCTGGGTCAGGAATGTGTCCTGGCGGGCTTGCGTGTCCTTGGCCAAGTCACTCACCCACCTCTGAGTGTCAAAAGAAAGTGCGGTGGCATGCGGGACTCAAACGTTCAGTGGCCAAGAACGGTTCCCCTAGCCAGCCCTCGGCAACGGACAGACGAAGGATCGGGGGACGGAGAAACGGACCTGGATTTGCTGTTGATCAGTTGATTTCTCTCCTCCCCAGCATTGTCCGGTCTCCCCGCACAACGCAGTCCTAGTCGTAGTTTTCGTCGTCGTCCCTGACACCATCGCTCCCTCACCCTCATCCTCAGAGTCCTTACCGCAGTTAGATTAGTTCTCGTCGCCCTCGCCCTCATCTTTTCAGTCCCCGGCTAGTCTTGCCTTCCTCATCTAGTCCTCATATTCATCATAGTCTGTTCTCTCCCCTTACAGCACAGTTATAGAAATCATGAAGGGTGGGGGTATACACAGGTGGGTTGAACATTGTCATAACAACAAACAGAGGTAAGACCCCTCCTTCCGGGGAAGTTCTAGGAAATTAACTCAAAGACAAAATCTCAACTGAGGGTTCAGCACTCCAGATTACTAGGGGATCCTCTCAAGGGCGGGATTCCATCCAGGGTGTATTTTCTCCTTTCCTCAACTAGTAATCCGTCTAACCAGTCATAGTGAGTTTACTTCTTATAATATTTCTAGTCATTTTGTGTGAACACAGTATGAGATATATTAAGCTTAAAGCCTCACTCTTGGGGCTGGAGCGATAGCACAGTGGGTAGGGCGTTTGCCTTGCATGCAGCCAACACGGCCAACACAGGTTCGATACCCAGCACCCCATATGGTCCCCTGAGCACCGCCAGGAGCAATTCCTGAGTGCATGGGCCAGAAGTACCCCTGAGCACCGCTGGGTGTGACCCAAAAAGAAAAAAAAAGCCTCAGTCTTCCTGGGGACCTCTTGCTATATATCCCAGACTACAGTCCTGAGGCCAGGTTAGTCTTTCCTAACCCCGCAGGGTCCTTATTCAGTTGCTTCTTTTTAGGTCAAGACAGAGTGTGCTCCATGACCGTGCTCTTCATTTTTTACACTTATGGTGCTTGGTTTGTCCCCTTTCGATGCCAGGGTAGCTCACAGCTTGCCCTGGGTCCATCCAGTCCCTTCATCGGGACCCACCTTTTGGGGGTGTTTGGAAGTAAGGGCAACTGAGGCTTAAGTCAAGAAAATGTGGATGCCCGGGAGTAAATGTTATTTTGAAGTCAGTTAACTCACATGCTACAAAAGCACAGCATCAACTGTCTTCCTGTGTCTATACAAAAAGAACATTGCTAAATAAGCCATGCAAATGACATAAAAAGAAAAGCAATATAGGGTTATTAGTGCCTGATGGAATTGGGTATGCCTCAGGAGCACTGTTGTGGGAGTAGCTCAATAAACCTAAGCTTCCTGCAGGGGGAGCAGAGACACCCCAATGTTAGCCAACACCCCTCTGTGTATCAGTTTCCTCCTGTGTGACAGGAAGAGCATGTGGCCCACTCAAGGGCAGAAACGTTAAATTTCTGGTTTCACTAACTCCCAGAGGCAGAGGCGGAGCTGGGGTCTCTGTCCCTGCAAGCAAGTCCCAGAGAGCTGTGAGCCAGGGGGCATGTGTGTGTGTGTGTGTGTGTGTATGTGTATGTCTGTGTGTGTATGTGTGTATGCGTGTGTGAATGAGTGTGTGTATATTTGTGTGCGAGTGTGTGTGTATGTGTGTGCAAGTGTGTGTGAGAGTGTGTGTGTGTGAGTGTGTGTGTGTGTGTGTGCCTGGATCAGAGGGAGTTTTCCAAGGACAGCTGCTGGACACATCCGTGTTGCACACATGTGGTTGTGGGGTCCACACTCATTTGGAGGCCTTGGTGGGTAGTGGGGCCCGGGGTTAGCTGCTGTTAGTGGGACACTCCCACACACTTGATTCTGCTGTCCTGGAGATCACGTGGGATCCGGAGTCCAGATAATCATGTTTCTGGGGTGCTGGAGTGATAGCACAGCGGGGAGGGTGCCTGTCTTGCACGCAGCCCTTTTGGGTTTGATCCCCTGCATCCCATTGTGTGCCCCGAGCATCACCAAGAGTGATAAGTGTAGAGCCAGGAATTACCCCTGAGCATCGTCAGATGTGGCTCCCCCAAAAATGTTTCTGGGATCTGGAGAGACAGGACAGCGGGGAGGGCGTTTGCCTTGCACATGGCCGACCCAGATCGAACCCTGGCATCCTATACGGGCCCCTGAGGCCTCCAGGAGTGATCCCTGAGCACAGAGCCAGGAGTAAGGCATGTGATCCAAAAAACTGTGTTTCTGGATGGCCTTGGTGTGTGGGCAAGGGCCGCGCCCCGCCCCTGCCTGGAGCCCCGCCCAGCCCCAGGAGAAGCGCCTTCTCGCAGGACACACTCCTCACCTGCTTTGTCTCCCGGCCCAGTCGCGCATGGTGCGGAACGAGGTCCCCTACTTCATCTGGACCACCAGGAGAGACGTGCTGGACTGCCGCTTCCTGTCCAAGGACCAGATGATCAACCACTATGCCCGGGCAGGCTCCTTCACCACCAAGGTGGGCACCCCTGGGGGCCTGGGCGGGGGGGGGTGTGGCATTCCGTGCCGAGGGGCCAGGCCCGGGTTCCGTTTGGATGCTTCAGAATGTGGGGAAGCACCTGTGGGCATTGTGACTCAAAGCAGCCCGGGTTGAAGTTTCTGGAGCCAGAACCAGCAGCAGAATCAGTGTTCTGGAAGGTTCTGGAAGGTTCTAGAATGTTCTTCCTTCCTGAGACAGAAATCACCGACTGGGCGTTTCCATTTCCTGTACTCAGGTTTCAGGGCCTAAAGCTCTGAGCTTTTTTCCTCATCTTATTTCATTGGGTTGGGGTTTGGGGGGCACCACAAGTGGTACTCAGGGGCTGCTCCTAGCTTGGTGTTTGGGGGCTCCTGGCGGGGTTGTGTTCAGGGGACCCTGTGGTGCCAGGGCCTGAGCCCAGGGCTCTAGCACACCAAACATGTACGGCCTGTCTTCTGGGGGGCTTGGCACACACGCACGGTGACCCCTCTGCCCGGTCTGGCTGCTCTGAGCTGCGGAGCCTGCTCTGAGCCAGGCGCTGGGGGGCAGGAGGGTCCAGGGGCCGGCCACCTTCCACCTGGCCGTCTGGTCCACAGAGCATTTAGAGCAAATGCCCGGGGCCGTCCTGCCCACTGTGGACCTCAGGACATTAGGGGCACAGGCCCACAGAGGGTGTGCGGGCTGGGAGGAAGACTGTTTCCGTGAGAGGCGGAACTGGGGTGATGGGGGTCACCGGGAACATGTTCCCAGCGGAGAACATGGGGCAGTGGGGGGAGTTGCCAGGAACGAGCGGGCTTGGCGCAGGTGAGGTGCTGGGGTGCCGAGCGGGGCGGGGGGCATCCCTGGGCGGGGCGGGTGCCCTCAGCAGCTCCCCCCCCTAGGTGGGTCTGTGCCTCAACCTCCGGAACTTGCCGTGGTTTGACGAGGCTGACGCTGACTCCTTCTTCCCACGCTGCTACCGTCTGGGGGCTGAGGATGACAAGAAGGCCTTCATAGGTAAGGGGGCCCCGCCCAGCGGCCGCCCAGGCCAGCAGGCTCGTGCCCGGGCAGTGGACCCCCGCCCCCGCGCCGGGCCAGCCCAGCTGTTTCCCGCTGAGCCCCTCGGTGGGCTGGCACCTTCGTGTGGTCGGGAGCGGTTCTAGCGTCCCATGGGGCAGGGGGAGGCTCGCCCCCCTCCAGACTCCGGCTAGGCCATTTCTGGCCCAACAGCAGCCTCAGAATTTGGCTCAGGATCCAATCCTAGGTTCCGACCGAGTCTCAGACCTGAGACCCTGGAGGGCGGCTGAGTGCAGTGTCTGGGCTGGGTCACGGCTCTGGTTCGGCCCTGGAAGCAGGGCCGGGTCGGGAGTCGGCTGAGGTCCAGGCAGGTTTTTGGTTCCTGAGCGGGGCAGGACCCAAGGAGGTTCTGGACCGGAACCGGCCTGGAGCCGGGGCTCTGAGCAGACCCCCCACCCGGGCACAGAGGACTTCTTCCTGACGGCTGCCCGCAACGTCCTCAAGCTGGTGGTGAAGAAGGTGTGGGAGTCGGACTCTCCGACGCCGGAGGGCGGGCCTGCAGGTGACGCCTCCCTGGTCTGCGGAGGACAGGCCACTGTGGGGGAGAGGTGCGGGGAGCTGTGCCCAGTGTGAGATGCTGCCCCTTGCCCCTGGGTGCCAAACCAGAACCCATGTGCTGGCAACCCGGGAGCCAGGAGGTGGTCCCTCTGCGGCCCCCAGGGTATGTGGGCCCTGGAGGTCAGCTCGGGGGTGACCCTGTGCCCAGGGGCTGGAAGGCAGAGCCACCTGAGTCCTGGACAGTGGGGCCCAGGCCCGGGGGACACAGGTGCTGGACAGTGGAGGCCAGGCCCCGGGGACAACAGATGCTGGAGAGTGGGGCCCAGGCCCGGGGGAAACAGTGGTGGAGAGTGGGTCCCAGGGCCACCAGAGAACCAAGAACGAGGCCTCAGCCTGGGACGGGTGAGGGGTGAGGGGAGGACTGAGGCCCAGGGCTCTGGAGCCTGGCCTGAGCCAGGGCAGAGGCCGCGTGAGAGTGACCGGCCCCTGTGTCCCCTCAGGGAACCTGCATCCCAGGAAGGTGGAGAAGAAGCCGCCGGTGGTGTCGTCCGACTTTGTGGACGAGGCGCTGCGGGCGTGTGAGGAGTTCCTGAGCAACCTGGCGCACACGGACATCGACAGGGAGCCGGAGGTCCCCCTGCACCTGAGCCCTGACGGCTGGTCCTTCTTCCTCCAGCGCTACTACCAGCTGGTCCAGTAAGTGGCCTGCGGCGCGGCCAGGCCCCGAGCTGGTACTCAGACAGACCCTCTCTGTCTTGGGGGCCCCTCTGGGGATCCTGCCGGGGCCCAGCCATGTCCCTGAGATGGCCGGCGCGGGCAAAGGCCCAGCTATGCCCTGAGGGGCCACGCCCAAGCATCGGAACCTGGACGGCCTCACGCTCTGGGTTTGGTGGCTTTTGTGGACAGTGACTCCAGACAGGGACAAATGGAGGCATTACTGGCGCCCGCTCAAGCAAATCAATGATTAATGGGAAGTCAAGTGATTCAAGTGACTCCAGAAAGCACCGGGGGCAGCAGCGCCAGCAGCTCTCCTCGTGCAGGATTTATTTGGGGTGTCACAGCTAACCATGCTGAGGGGTCACTCTGGCAGTGCTCGGAGGCCATCTGGGTGCCAGGGATCCAAGTGGGTCGGCCACGTGCCAAGCAACGCCCTCCCCGCCGCGCCGTCGCGCCCTTCCCTCCGTACAGGGTGTTGGCATGATGTGAACGTTGGTAAAAGCTGAGCCTGGGGGAGTCTGTGCTTGGGGCTCCCCAGACTCCCCCGGCCTGAAGGGTGGGCTTCAGAATTTTCTTCGTGAGCAGAAGCGAAGAACACCTGGGTCAGACGAGGGTGGGGGCGGGGTGGGCGTGAGGGAGAAAAGCCGGAAGCCAGAGAATAAAACAGGTGCTGGGGTCCCCGCGGGCAGCACCAGGGAAAACAGTGGAATGGCCAGCAGTGCTGGGAGACGCGGAGGCCAAAGACAGGACGAAGGGGCCAGAGAGCCGCTGTGCCATTCAGTTCTTTTTTGGTTTTATATATATATATATATTTTTTTTCTTTTTGGGTCACACCCGGCGATGTTCAGGGGTTACTCCTGGCTCTGCACTCAGGAGTTACTCCTGGCGGTGCTCGGGAGTGCATCAACCATATTCGATGCTGGGAATCGAACCCGGTCGGCCGTGTGCAAGGCAAATGCCCTACCCGCTGTGCCATTGCTCCAGCCCCATGGTTATATCTTTTCAGGGCACTTGCCTTGCACACAGCGGCGCCTGGTTCCACCCTCCTGAGTGACCCCTACACACACCGCCGGGAGTAAGTCCTGAACACTACCAAAAATATCTGGTTGCCTGGGTTTTTGTTGTTGTTTTTTGCTTATCAAACCAGATGGTCATGTTGAATTGACTTTTCTAAATGACAGAAGATCTCACCACCCCCCATGGGACATTGGGGGCGGGGTGGGGGCAGCCCAGATGGTGCTGAGCAGATTCTTGATAGCGTGGCCTACGGAAGCCTCTGGAAACAGAGGGGTGAGGGGTGGGTGAGTCCGTCAGAGCCTGCTTGAGCCGCGGGCTGACCGCTGGGGTCCTGGCTCTGCCATTGGGGGGCCCACCCGGGGGTAGGTGATTTTGTGGGCCGAGGGGGTTGGGGATTGGGGTAGGGGTCATTTCATCCTTGAGTCTCAGTGTGTGCGGTCCAGTGGCCGAGAACAGCTCCCACCAGAGAACTTGCCCCACACCTGTGTCCACTCGGCAGTCCGAGGAAGCCCCTCCTCCCGGCCAGGCCTCCTGGGGAGCAGGGACGGGTCCCCCGGAGCAGCCAGGGACCCCTCAGCCTTACATTGATGCTGCAGACTCGGGCTCAGCTGGGAGGGGGTGAATGCAGGTGTGGACGCGTCTGTGTCCTCAAGAAGGGCCCGTGAGGGGGGCGGGAGCCCCGGGGACTTCTTCGCAGTCGGCCTCTGCCACAGCCTCTCAGCTCTGCACACGGCCCGGGCCAGCGCTCGCTTCCGACCTCAGGCTGCAGGGGAGATGGGGCCTCGGGAATCGGGCAGGGACGGGCAGCCTGGGTGCCCCGCCCCGTGTCCTGCTGACTCAGTGCTGCCGTGGGCAGGGGCGTGGGGGGCGCAGAAGGCACCACACAGAGGGGTCGCTGAGGCCCCAACACTCCCCTCCACTCGTCCAGTGCTCAGGTGGTTCGTCCGGAAGGGGGCGCAGCGGAGGGCCAGACTGGCAGTCTGGAGACGCCTCCGGCTCCTCGGGGGTGGGTGGGGGACATGCTGGGTGGCCCGTAGGGTCAGCGCCGTTGGCCCGGCTGCCCACCCCTTCCTTTCCCACAGCGAGGGGGCCGAGCTGAGGCCGCTGGACACGCAGGCACTGCGCTGTGAGGAGGTGCTGCAGAAGCTGCGGGCCGTGGTCCCGCAGATAGACATGGAGGGTGACCGCAACATCTGGATCGTCAAGCCGGGAGCCAAGTCCCGCGGCCGAGGTGGGAGTCAGCCCCCAATGTCCAACACCGCCCCAGCCTGCCTCCCCAGTCGTGCGGCTGGCATGCTGTGTGACCCTGGGCAGGTTGCTTGACCTCTCTGAGCAGAGCAGCACATTCTGGCACTCGAGGATTAAGTGTCAGAGCGACAGCACAGCAGGCAGGGTGTTGGCCTTACCTTGCACGCTGCCCACCCGAGTTTGAACCCCGGCATCCCTTAGGTCCTCCGAGCACCACCAGGAGTAATTCCTGAGTGCAGAACCAGGAGTAACCCCTGAGAATCACCGGATATGACTCAAGTAGCTAATAATAATAATAATAATAATAACAACAGTAATGAAATGCGGCACAGAGGCGTCACCCACAGGCAGCTCTGCCACCCTGGGACTTGGGTGAGAACTCGAGCATCTCACCTGGGTCTGCCTGGAGCACTGATCCCTGAGTCAGGAGTTACCCCTGAGCACTGCCAGGTGTGGCCCAAAAGCCACCCCCGCTAAAGAAAAGGAAAAAAACCTAACTGATTAAGCACCCCGAGAAGATCTCCCCAAATCTCCAGGGGGTTCGTTTGCAGAGCCCCAGGCCCCGCAGGCAGCTCACGGGAAGGTTGTGGGCGGCTTCCAGCCAGGGCGGTTCCTGCAGGGGTGGGGATCAGGCTGTAGAGGAAACAGGAAAACCAGAAACACCGTTATCTGGGGCAGGCCCCTTCTCAGCTTCTCTTCTACAGGGGAGAGACGGGAGGGGGAGAAGAGAGAGGGAGAGAGGGAGAGAGGGAGAGAGGGAGAGAGAGAGAGAGAGAGACTGCTTATGTATACATGTGCATATTCTGGTATTTTGTTGTGGTTGTTTTGGGTCATCCAAGTACTAACCAGGCCCTCCCCTGCTTAGCTTCCGAGATCAGACGAGATCGGGCGCGTTCAGGGTGGTATGGCCGTAGACTGGGCTGGAGCGATAGCACAGCGGTAGGGCGTTTGCCTTACAAGCGGCCAACATGGCCGGCCCGAGTTCGATTCCTCCGCCCCTCTCGGAGAGCCCGGCAAGCTACCGAGAGTATTCGATATGCCAGACACAGTAACAACAAAGTCTCCAATGGAGACGTTACTGGGCCCGCTCGAGCAGCTCGATGAACAACGGGAGGACTGTGACTGTGACTGTTCTGGGTCATACCAGGCAGTGCTCAGGGTTACTCCTGGCTCTGACTCAGGAATGACTCCTGGCACTGCTCGGGGGACCGTGTGGGATGCCGGGACTGAACCCAGGTTGTCCGTGCGCAAGGCAAGCGCCCTGCCCTCTGCACTATCGCTCCGGCCCCTGTATGTGTATTTGGTTTGGTTTGGGGCCACACGGAGGGGGACTCAGAGCCTGCTCCCGGCTCTGTGTCGCTGAGGGATCGTGAGTGTCACGATCAGGTTGCGGCCTTGGGCTTGCGAAGCCTGTGCTCCAGCCTTTGAGCCGACTCCCAGCCCGCATGCACGTGTGCGTGTGTGTGTGCATGTGTGTCACCTTTTCACGGATTCTGCCGCCCCAAGTCACTTGGTGCCACTCATTTCTCCCCCCCCCCATGTCATCATCTTGGATTTGGGTCCCTGTTGTCTGTTCGCGTGTTTATTTGTGGGGTTTATTTTGGGTTGGAGCTTCTTGTTCTGGAGACTTTGACAGCTCTAATGGCTTGTACCACATTTCAACTTTTTATCCATTTTTTTTTTTTTTTACTTTTTGGGTCACACCCAGCGATGCACAGGGGTTACTCCTGGCTCTGCACTCAGGAATTACTCCTGGCGGTGCTCAGGGGGACCATTTGGGATGCTGGAAATCGAACTCGGGTCAGCTGTGTGCAAGGCAAACGTCCTACCCGCTGTGATATTGCTCCAGCCCCTGATCTTTTTTTTTCTCTCTCAAACTTTATTTATTTGGCTTTTTTTTTTTTTTTTTTTTGCTTTTTGGGTCACACCTGGCGATGCACAGGGGTTACTCCTGGCGGTGCTCAGGGGACCATATGGGATGCTGGGAATCGAACCCGGAGTCGGCCACGTGCAAGGCAAACGCCCTACCTGCTGTGCTATCTCTCCAGCCCCTTATTTGGCTGTTTGGGTCACACCTGGTGATGCTCAGGGCTTATTCCTGGCTCTGCACTCAGGAATTTTTCCTGGAAGTGCTTGGGGGACCCTATGGGATGCCGGGGATCGAACCCGGGTCAGCCACGTGCAAGGCCAACGCCCTCCCCACTGTGCTATCGCTCCAGCCCCTCCCAGGGGTTCCCAGACACATTGTCGCTTCGTCCCTGCAGCAGAGCTGGGGCGACACCCTTGGTTTTCAGAACCATGCTACTGGGACCGGGGAGTCAGCCTTGTACAAGACACGTGATTTAACCCCTGACTAGTTATCCAGCCCTGAAAATATATTTTTTTTGGTGAGGGGCACCCCTATCTGACTGTGCCCAGGGCCCGCTCCTGGTTCTCTCGGGGACGGCTCATGGCGGTGCTCAGGGGTCCATCTGAGCACCTTTGGCTTGGGGATCAAACCTTTGCGGCAACTTGAGCTTCATCTGAGGGAAACGCCTTTACCTCTGACCCTCCCTCGGGCCCTAGAACTTTATTTTCCGTTTTGACTGCAAGTACCTTCCTGTGCTTGATTTTTCAGTTTTGTTTGTTTGGGGGTCTCACCCAGCAGTGGTCTGCGGCTCTCCTGGCTCAGGTGGCACTTGGGGGGTTACTCTTGGCAGTGCTCAGGGCACTGGATGAAGCCAGAAGTCGAATCTGGGCGAGCCCTGCACTGCCACGAGGATGTGGGGTGCGGCCGCATTGATCTCCATTTACCTGCTTCTCTGCTTCGGGCTGTGGGGGGCCGCCAGTGCCCACCCTGTACTTTTGCTGAGGGGTTGGCTGCAGTGTGGCCCTTGCATCGGGTTCTTTAGATGATGATCTAGTTGCTGGGACGGCGTCACAGGCCCCCCCATCCCTGGCCACAGAGGGGTCGCGTTCTTGGGCATCTTGTGACTGTCCCCGAGTACCCGGGACAGATGCTGCTGTCCTGGGCAGGTGACCAGGCCGCTGAGGCCCAAGTGGTGAAAGGATGAGACAGGCTCGTGAGCACGTGCTTGGTGAGAGATGTACCTTGGGGGGCCAGAGCGATAGTACGGGGGCCGGTGTAGCTTCCTCGCTCGTGGCCACCCTGGTGCTCGGGGGCTCCTCCTGGCCCTGTGCGTTCTGAGGGTCCATATGAGGGGCCTGGGGTCACACTAAGATGGGCCACACAAGCAGAGCAGCTCCTTACCCCCGTACTCTGTCTCTGTCTCTATCTCTATCTCTGTCTCTCTCTATCTCTCTTTGTCTCTCTATCTCTGTATCTGTTTCTCTATCTATCTCTGTCTCTCTGTCCCTGTCTCTATCTCTATCTCTCTGTCTCTCTCTGCCTCTGTCTCTGTCTATCTCTGTCTCGGTGTCTCTCTCTCTCTGCCTCTGTCTCTCTGTCTCTGTCTCTCTGTCTCTCTGTCTCTATCTTTGTCTCTGTCTCTGTCCCTCTCCTCTCTCCTCCGCTTGTTAGTTTATTTTCCTTTGTTTCTGGTTCTTTTTCTTTCTTTCTGGGGCGCACCCAGCAGTGCTCAGGGCTTACTCCTGGTCACACTCAGGGATCTTTCCCGGCATGACTTGGGAGAACCATATGGGGTGTCGGGGCTCAAATCTAGGCTGGCCGCATGCAAGGCAGGCGCCCTCCCCATTGTATAATCTCTCTGGCCTTGCTTCGTTAGTTTTATGTTCTGTTACTCACTGGCAGGAATTACTCAAACTTAGATATTCTTAAATTTTAAATTCAAAAGATTGGGTTTTTGTTTTGTTTTGCTGTTTGTTTGTTTGTGGACCATACCTGGTGATGCTCGGGGCTACTCCTGGCTCTCCACTCAGGCATCACTTCTGGTGATGCTCAGGGACCATGTGGGATGCCGGGGTTGGAACCTGGGTCTGGGCGTGCAGGCAAACACCCTCCCCGCTGTACTGTCTCTCCAGGCCCCAAAAACTGTTTTTGAAGAAGGGGCCAAGGGCTAGGACAGGGGCTAAGGCACTTGCCTTGCAGGTAGGCAACCCCAGTTTGACCCCTTGCACCACATATGGTCCCTCCATGTCCTGCCATCAGGAGTGATCCCTGAGCACAGAGCCAGGAGCTGCCCCTGAGCATAGCTGGGTGTGGCCCTAAATCATGGCTTTTTGGTTTTGGATTTTTTTTTCTTTCTTTTTGGGTCACACCCGGCGATGCTCAGGGGTCACTCCTGGTTCTGGTTCTGCATTCAGGAATCACTCCTGACAGTGCTCAGGGGACTACACGGGATGCTGGGGATCGAACCCGGGTTGGCCGCGTGCAAGGCAAACGCCCCACCTGCTGTGCTATCACTCCAGCCCCTGGTTTTGGATTTTGGTTTGGGGCTGTGCCCAGGGAACATTCCTGGCAGGGCGTGGGGGGAACCATCCAGGTGCCAGGGACCAAACCCAGGCCTGCTGTGGGCGCGGCGGGCATCCTGCCCGCTGCCCGATGTCGCTCCCGCTCCTCGATGCTCTGGGCAGCCCTGCGTGAGCGCTCAGCTGGGCCAGTGGTCTAGAGGGGCGGCCGCGGGGCCGGCGAGTGCCCACCTGCTCTGGGCCGCCGCAGGCATCATCTGCTTGGATCGACTGGAGGAGATGCTGAAGCTGGTGGACTGCCACCCGCTGCTGATGAAGGACGGCAAGTGGGTGGTGCAGAAGTACGTGGAGCGGCCGCTGCTCATCTTCAACACCAAGTTCGACCTGAGACAGTGGTTCCTGGTCACCGACTGGAACCCGCTGACCGTGTGGTTCTACCGCGACAGCTACATCCGCTTCTCCACACAGCCCTTTTCCCTGAAGAACTTGGACAAGTGAGCCCCCGCTTGGTGCAGGGGTAGGGGTGGGGGGCTGGAGAGGAACAGGGAACCCCTCCCCCCCCCCCGGTGCCATGCAGGGCTTAGGACGGAACCGAAATAAAGCTTGTGGAAGAGGGTCTGTAGGACGGCATCACCACCCTCAGGGCCAGGCGGCCGGGAAAAACCCTGGGACCTGGGCATAGTCACCACCCCAGGGTACAGACGAATGGGTGCGCCCAGGCGACAAGACTGAGGTCACAAGTGGCCAGAAGTGACCGCTGGACTGGTGCCTGTTGAAACCCACATGCCTGGACCCCACCTTAGCTGCCAGGAGCCAGAGTCTTCACTGAGAGCCCAGAGTACTGCAAGAGGCTCAGGGAGACAGGCCAGGCTCGGGCCCGGGGTGGGGGGCAGGGGGGTCCGGGGTGACCCTCCGCCCGCTGCTCTCTGCCCAGCTCCGTGCATCTCTGCAACAACTCCATCCAGAAGCACCTGGAGAACTCGCACCGCCGCGACCCGCAGCTGCCGGCCGACAACATGTGGTCGAGCCAGAGGTTCCAGGCGCACCTGCAGGAGACGGGCTCCCCGCGGGCCTGGGCCAGCATCATGGTGCCCGGCATGAAGGCCGCCGTCATCCACGCGCTCCTCACCTCCCAGGACACGGTGCAGTGCCGCAAGGCCAGCTTCGAGCTCTACGGGGCCGACTTCGTGTTCGGCGAGAACTTCCAGCCTTGGCTCATCGAGATCAACGCCAGCCCCACCATGGCGCCCTCCACGTCCGTCACCGCCCGCCTCTGCGCCGGGGTGCAGGCCGACACCCTGCGCGTGGTCATCGACCGGCGGCTGGACCGCAACTGCGACACGGGCGCCTTCGAGCTTATCTACAAGCAGGTGAGTGGCCAGACCCCGGCCAGCCCCGCGGGTGCCCCGTGGGGAAAAGCCCAGCATGTGCCCTGCGACAGCCACACGCAGGCCTGAGCTGTGTCCTCTGGAGACGGGCTGGGAGGATGCAGAGCTGAGCAGCCTGGCTCTGAGAGGGGCACCGCGCGGTGTAGGACCCGCCCTCTAAGGGGGTGAGGGTGGGAGGTGGCGGGGGGGGGGGGGGCAGGGCTGGTGTGTGGGACGCGTCAGAGTCAGCGCTGCTGCCCGGGGCTCCAGAGACGCAGCCCCGTTGCCCCCAGCCCCGCGAGTCCTCCTTCTGAGTGCTAGTGTCCCCTGTCACCCATAGTGGCGGCTGTGTGTCATTATTTGACTCACTTCATTCCAAAAAGACGTGAGTGGGGTTGGAGCGATAGCACAGCGGGTAGGGCGTTTGCCTTTTACGCTGCCAACCGGGTTCGATTCTCAGCATCCCATATGGTCCCCCGAGCACTGCCAGGAGTAATTCCTGAGTGCAGAGCCAGGAGTAACCCCTGTGCATTGCCGGGTGTGACCCAAAAGGCAAAAAAAAAAAAATTGTTCTGTTTTGTTTGAGGGCTACCCCTGCTGGTGCTCAGGGCTGATCCTGGCTCTGTGCTCAGGGATCATTCCTGGCGGGGCTTGGGGGGCCACATGGGGTGCTGGGATTGAGCCCGAATAGCTGCGCTCGAGGCCAGTGCCCTCCCCGCTGTGCCGTCCTCTGGCTCCTCCTTGGACCCGTTCGCTGAGGTTCTCCGGACGCTGAGCTCTGGGGTGGAGAGTGAGGGTTGAGGCGTTTCTTTATGTGCCTGGTCCCTTGAACATCTCGGAGAGCTGCCCTGGAATGTAGAGCGGGGGGAGCTCCTGAGCACTGCTAGGGTGGTCTATAAGGTGGTTTAGAACACTCCCCTCCCCCCAAATCATGAGCTTTCCCCTCATTAATGGCGCTTAACTGAGTCCAGTACTCTCCTTCCTTCCTTCCTTCCTTCCTTTCTTTCTTTCTTTCCTTCCTTTTCTTTATCTTTCCTCCCCTCTCTCTCCCTCTGTCTCCCTGTCTCTGTCTCTGTCTCTGTCTCTCTGGACTTACCATGAGATACATAGTTACGAAGCTGTTCCTGGTCGGGTTTCAGTCATGCCATGCTGCAACACGCATCCCTTCACCAGGGCACCGTTCCCACCACCACTGTCCCCAGTCTCCCTCCCGCCACCGCCACCCACCGCCCCAGTCGGCCTCTGTGGCAGGCCCTTTTCTTCTTTCTCTCTCTTTCCCGTCTTTCGGGCATTATGGTTTGCAGTTCAGCCATTGTCTTGCAATGACAACCTCTCTCCACGGAGAGGTTGTCCTGCCTGGTCCTTTACCTACCTCAGCACGCGGTTCTTATCCACAGTGATCATTCCCAGCTCCAGTTATTCACAGTGGTCCCTTGTCGGTCCCAGCTTAAGGCAGGCTCCCAACCGATCCTCCGGGCCTGAGATTCTACTGCCCTTGGGGATCAGTCTTATACTATGTCTTTTTCTATCACCCACAAATGAGCGCCCCGTTATTTCTTCTTGCTTTTCCACTTCCCCCTCCTCTCTGTCAGAGGGAGTGGCAGGGAACCCCCCTGGGCGACAGTGGGTGTAGCAGCAGGCGGCCCCCAGAGGGTGCTGTGGCCCCAGAGAGCCCGTTCCCCCTGCCCCAGGGCTCACTCTGTTTATAACAAGCTCCAAGGTCTCTGCTGGTGCCAGGAAAACCGCCGCCAAGCACCCACCAGGAGCGGGGAACCGGGGCTTCCTGCCTGTGGCAGAAGGCTCAGCTGAGGGCTGGAGTGACAGTACAGCGGGGAGGGCGTTTGCCTTGCCTGCGGCCGACCCGGGTCAGATTCCCAGCATCCCCTGAGCACTGAGTGCAGAGCCAGGAGTAACCCCGAGCATCGCCGGGTGTGACCCAAAAGAAAAATAATGCTGAGGCGTCCCTCAGGTGGGCCCGGGGCCCCCCGGCCGCGAGTCCTCTGAGTGCGTGTCCCCTCTCGCCCGCAGCCCGCGGTGGAGGTGCCGCCGTACGTGGGGATGCGGTTGCTCGTCCAAGGCTCCACCATCAAGAAGCCCCTGGCCGTGTGCCCGCGGCGGCTGGAGACGCCCTCGGCCTTCCCGCAGCTGATGGCCCAGCCGGGCGCCGGGGAAGGCAGGAGCTGGGGCTGCCTCCCCCACAGAGCCGCGGCGCGGCCTCCCACCGGGGTCTGCACCCTGGGGGGCACGGAGGCCCCGGACCTCGCCGCGGGGGAGCAGGACAAGGCCAAGAGCGCCAGAGCCCTGGGCCGGCCCGGCCTGGAGGCGGGGGGTGAGCTCCGTGCGGGAACGGGCCGGGTGCACCCGGCACCCTTCCCTGGCACCCCGCGGCCGGGCCTGAAGAAGCCCCGCACCCTGAGCACGGACAACCCCCGCCAGCACACCAGGCTCCCCAGGCCGTTCTTGCCCACCCTCTCCCTCCCCGCGGACACGGCCCGGTAGCCCCCCGCAGGCTCTAGAAATACACCCTCCTGTGAGCACCGGCCTTGCAGGCCCGTCAGGTTTCCAAGCCGCCAACCCCGCTGACCCCACGCCCAGGCCTTGCCCGTTCCTTGGCCCCTGCCCCATGCCCCGTGCCCTGCACTGCCCTGTCCACCCTCCCGCACGCACTGACCTTCCACGGTAGATGCTGTTGGTCCATTTTCCAGCCGAGGCCTCGCGTGGTGGTGGGGGGGCTCAGGAAGGGGCCCACGGCCACGCAGACCTGCAGGGGTCCAGCAGCACAGCCCGTCACATGCCCGGAGGACTCCACTGACCCTCACCCCCACGGCCCCTGCACGCGGCTGGCCAGCCCCAGCCCCGCCGGCCCTCACCGCCCGCTCGCTTGCTCCCACAGCCCCTTGCCACGCCCCTAGCCTCTCCGCCAAGGGCCAGCTGCCTCCTCCCCGCGTGCTCCGAACCCCCGGCCGGGTCCTCCAGCTCCAGCACGGTGGGCTGATGGGCAGCACGACGCTGTCGGCCACGGGCAGGGCCCTGATGTCGCTGCCCACCGCCAGAGTCTGGATCTCCTTCTCGCCCCACCCCAGCATCCTCCTGGCACCGAGTTTCCTGGACCCCAAGAAGGTGGGCGTGCGCCTGGGACTCGCACCGTGGCGGGGGAGAGGCCGAGAGCCAGGCCCGGGCAGGAGGCCCCCTCTGCACGCAATCCTCTTGCCCCCCGCGCCCTCTCACGTGAGGCTCTCGCCCCCCCCACCGCCTGCCAGGTCTCTATCCTCAGAGGGGTCTGTGGCCTCTCCCCTTTGAAACTGCAACTCTCCCCAGCAGCCGAAGGAGGAGCAAGATCAAAGACAGACCCAAGCCCAGAGCTCGGGGCGGCAGGCCCAGGCCCAAGAAAGGCCTCAGAGGACCCCTGAGCGCCTGCCGCCTCCGGCCCCCTGGGGGGACACGGCAAGGCCGAGGAACGCGTGGGCCGTGCGGCTGAAGAGCCCCCGACTCCGGCTGCACCCCATCCTGGACGCAGCTAAATAAAGGGGAGCGAGCGAGCGAGGCATCCCGGGCTGGGCTCCGTTTCTCCCGAGCCGGAGAATGGGCTGGCCAGCACCTGGGCCTTGGGGGCCAGAATCCCCCCAGCCGGGGACAGCTGGCCTGCGGCCACGAGCAGGGGGCAGAGAGCCGGGACACTTTGCCTCCAGAACTGGTGAGCACTGGGGATCCCCCAGGGGGGCTGGGCTGGCAGCTGACTGACGTTTCCTGGAACTGAGACTGAGAACCCAGGGCAGCGGGCACTGGGGGACCTTGCCTGGCCCCCCCGCCCCGGACGCCAGGGCTCACGAACAGCCGAGGTAAAACATCCAACTCCCACGGGCCGGAGTACGGTTTTCTTGTGTCCTAGGTTGAACGGTGCCGCCACCCTCTCCCCCCCAAAAAAAAACACATCCTCCCCATAGAATCTTGGTTGAAGACAGGGTCTGGGCCTGAAATACTGTGAGTTGGTTCAGGAGAAGGGGGGTGGGGAGGGGGTGCTGTGAGAAGTCTCTCGTGAGCCAGAAGAGGACGTGGTCCGAAGCCTGAGGCTGAGGCAGTCATGGACCACGGGACCCGCGCCTTGGGAGAGGCCAGCATCGTCCCAGGGCGTTGAAGGGCCGCCCGTGGACTCGACATCCAGTGTAGCGGGCGTCACCGTTGAGGAACCGGTGCTCCCGCCCGGGAATTCTGCAGAAGGGACCAGAAACGGGCACACGGCAGGACCCTCGATGGGAAACAAACCCCATGCCCAGGGGCACCGCAGAAGCAAGCCACAGGGTCTCGATGGCGGGTGCCAGGCCTGCAGAGGACAGTCGCCCCACGCCAGGGCCGGCTGTGAGCCAGACCCAGCCACCAGCCTTTCGAGAACTCAGCACCAGCGCCCCCCTCAGGCCGGAGTCAGCAGTGCAGGTGCAGGAACACGGAGCGTTTCCCGGTGGGCCACTGCGCAGGGCCAGGGAGCTCCAGCCCTGAGCTAACCCCCAGCTCCCGGCAGGGTTTCTCGAGGCTGCCAGGGGGTAGTTTTGGGGCTCTAATGTGGGCCCGGGCTGAGAACACTCAGGCAGAAGACAGGGTTTTTACTGCATGTGCAAGTGAAGTCTGGGTCACTGGAAGATTGTTCTGGACATTTTTATTTTCGGGGCCACGGCTGGTTTCCTGTCGCACCGTGCTCCGGCTCGGTCCTGGCGCTGCCGGGGATACACTGAGGCTGGCGCAGTGCGGTCCGATTCCCCGTCTCCAGCCACGGTGAGGCCTGACCCCCGGAGTCCCCACCCCCGCTTCCTGGGACACGGCAGACCGCGCCTACTGCTGGCGGAGCCCCAGGTCCTGGAGGGTCCTGGAGAAGTGAGGGGGCAGCGGGGCCTGGAGTTCCAAGGGGGCGTCCCGGGGCCTAGCACCGGGTAAGTGGAGGCAGCGGAGGTGCAGGTGCAGAGGCAGCTGGGCGGCCTGGGCGGGTGACAGATGGAGGCGTGACAGCAGGGCGGCGTCCAGGACCTGGATGGGGGGTGCAGGTCACCACTCGCCGGTGGGGCCCAGCGCTGCTCCCAGGGCACAGGAGGGCACAGGTCCCCATCAGCTGCTTACGTGAGGCCAGTAACCACCAGGCCCCATACTGCCGAGGGGTGGGAGGGGGGTTTGGGTCACGCCCGATGATGCTCGGGTTCCTCCTCGCTCTGCACTCAGATCACTCCTGGCGGTGCTCAGGGATGATGTGGGGTGCCAGGGATCGAACCGGTCGGCTGCTTGCAAGGCAAACGCCCTCCCAGCTGTGCTATTGCTCCGCCCCAAGCCCCACGATTGTTCACCCTGGTCATGCCCCACCTACGTGGCAGAGACTGGCTTGGGGCCTCCAGACCCATTTCGGCCCCTCCCCCCCAGACAGCACCCTGCTGGCTCTCAGCCCCTCCTGCAGGGAGGAAGCCATGTGGTCGGGTTCCCCCTGTGCAATAGGGGTCACCTGCGAGGGTCACCGTGGATGGGGGTCACCACGAGAGAAGGGACTTGGGCACCAGAGAGAGCACAGGGGTCTGCGCTGGCCCTGCACGCGGCTGACTCTGGTGTGATCCTCGACATCCCACCTGCCCCCTGAGCACCACCAGGAGCAAGTCTGAGCCCAGCCGGGTGTGGCCCCAAACACCCACCCCAAGACAGGCATTTTGGGGTCCTCAGCCCCGCTCCCCCAAGGGCAGTCTCAAGGGCCTGGCGAAGTCGGTCACTTTCTGCCGCCCCCCCCTCCCCGAGGGAGCCTGGGCTGCACCCAGGCCCCTGGACGTCCTGTCCCCCCGGGCAGGCCGCAGGCAAGTACCTGTGGTCGGGGCTTGGTGCTCTCGGCGGACAGCAGGAAGCGCTGGCCCAGGACAGAGCCCACGCGGGCACAGTACGTGTGGTCCCCCAGGACTGGGCAGAGCTGGAGCAGCATGTGCACCTGCAGCTGGCCTGGGAAGGCTGTGGACGGGGGCCGAGTGGGGGGCTGCTCTGCAGATCCCGGGCCCCCCAGAGGCCAGGGGCTCGCTCCTGGGGAGGCGACTCAAACACTGACTCAACTACAAACTACTGCTACTGGGAAGGAAGGAAACGACTTCCCGTGGGTGCCAACTGCTGAGCCACCCCTAGCCCAGCCCCAGTCCAGTCCAGCCCCGCCCCACCCAGCCCTAGCCCCCAGCCCCCAGCCCCAGCCTTCAGCAGGAATTCCCGCAGGAAGGGCTCGAGGAAGAGACAGCTGACCTTCCTCGGGGCAGACCCAGGTTGGACCCCTGGCACTGCAGGAGCACCCCCGCCCCGCAAGGAATGATCCCTGAGCAGAGCCCGGAATAAGGCCTGAGCACTGCCAAGTGTGACTCCCAAGCTGCTGCTCCCCCCAAAAATCACTGGCAACAACAACAACAAAAACACGTGGGGGGGCTGAAGCAATAGTACAGCTGGTAGGGCATTTGCCTTGCATGCGGCCGACCCGACCCGGGGTCATTCCTGAGTGCAGAGCCAGGAGTAACCCCTGTGCACTGGGTGTGACCCAAAAAGCAAAAAAAAAAGGTGGGGTCTGGAGAGAGGCGCTTTAGGACTTGGGGGCTCATGGGCCACTCAAAGTGGTGAATCCCCAGCGAGAAGCGTCAATGCACAGAGTGACAGGACAGCGGGAGGGCACTGGCCTGGCACGCAGCCAACCCAGGCTCCATCCTGGCATCCCAGATGGCCCCGGAGCGGTCAGGTGTGACCCCCGCCCCCAAATAAGGTGGCCCCACGTGTGGGGGCAGAGCAGCGAAACCCCAGCGCACGAAGACGGATGCGAGCGCGGCGTGGGAAGCGGAGCCGAACACCTGGGCCCGCCAGCTCCCCGGGCTGCCCCGCGTCCCCCCCTGCTCACCTCAGCTGAGTTCCCTTCTGGGGGCTGGGGGCCCCACACCCACCTGTCAGTGGCCGCAGCTGGACCAGGGCGCAGCCGGAGCCTGTGTCCAGCACACGGAAGTGGCTCAGGGTCCTCCTGGCGCCCTCCTGGATGGCCCTGCGGGACGCGGCCTTCACGGGGACGGCCTGCGGCGTTGGCAGGGGCAGAGCTGGCGAGGACCGGGCGAGGGCCCCCCACCCCCCCGCAGAAGCAAGAGGCAGCCCCAGGCCTACGTGCCTGCTCTGGGTGGGGCGTGGCTGGAAGGGGGGGACCCGGGGCCTGTGGAGCTGGGATCAGTCTCCCCCCCCCATCTCTCCCCTTAGAGGAAGGTCCTGAGGGTCCCAGCCTGGCCCCACCGAGAGCCAAACTTACGACTTTGAGCCCATCCACGTGCTCCAGCTTTAGGGCCACCTGGACCCTCCCCTCGGCGGAGGCTGGGACCCCATCCGTGACTGCCCTGAAAGAGCCACTGGGGGTCAGCGTGGTTGGCGGAGATGTCCCGGGGTCCAGGAGCCCCCACCCCACCCCACCTCCGCGCCCCTCACCAGTAGGTGGCCGTAGGCCTCTGGGCTCTCCGGGAGTCAGCGAAGAACTTCTGGAGTCGGCTTGTGGTCTGGGGACAGCTGGAGAGGAGGACAAGCCCGGAGGTCTCCCTGGAGGAGGAGGAAACCACAGAAGTGTAAGGGCGGGAAGCCCCAGGGAGCCACAGAGACAGAGATGGCTCCAGCGACACCAGGGCCAGCCCAACCCCCAGAAGACCACAGCATGGGGCAATAAAAATTTACTTTGTTTCTTTGCTGAGCTCAGGGCTCACCCTGGCCGGGCTTGGGAGACAGGTGTCGGGGAGCCCGTGGGTGGCCGGTGGCCATCGTGACTGGCCCATGTGCCTCGGCCGGCACCACGTTCCCCAGCGTTCACTCCGGCTCCCCACTCGATGCCACTGCGCAGACGCCCAGCTGCAGTGCCCACGTGCGGGGCGGCCACAGGCCTTGGTCGTGGGGTCCATGTGCGCTGTGGGCCCAGGGGCTGCTGGGTGGCCGGAAACTGCGTGTGGCCACGGGAACGGTGCATGGCGCACGTGGGCAGCCCCAGGAGTCAAACCCAAAGCTTGGAGCTGGCAGGGCAGGTGCTCCGGCCCCTCCGAAGTCAGTGCTCACGTGGGCACGAGGCCAGCTGTGAACTTGTGTGAGTGCAGAGAGACGCACCCCGCCACCTGCTAAGGCCCCGGGAAGCCTGTTACAGACCAAAGGGGGCGGGAGGGGGGACAGGGCCAGGAGGATGACGTAGGACTGGGAGGGGGGACCAGGGCGGGAGAGGCCACTGCACGAGCACTGTCAGCCCAACTTTCTGGGGGGCACCTGGGGCCAGACGCTGAGTCTGTTTAAGGCACAGCCTTACTGAGGCTCCGAACCCACATCTGTCCACACTCCACCTCCCGTGTCCTGCCTGCCGTGGGCACAGCCACCCTCCCACTGCCCCCCACGCGTGTCCCTTACCTCTCGGCCGCTCGGACCACCTGCAGCTCCAGCCCGCCAAGCCCCAGGGTCCGACTCAGCTCTGGCAGCACCGAGAGCAGTGACGGCTCCTCCGGCTTCCCTGGGGGGCCGAGGGAGAAGCTCAGGGCTGCCTCCCGGCCCTACCCGGCCCCTCACCGGCCCCTCGCCGGTACCTGTCACCGGCAGACCAGCGGGCTTGTTGAGTGTCACGAGAGGTCCTGGAACACACAGCGAAGGCATGAGTGACCACGGGGCAGCAAAAGTCCCCGGCTCCCACCGCCTTCCCTGTCCCGCACCCGGGCAGAGCCACCTGGGGGATCCGAGTGTTCCCTGGCTGCCAGCTCGGGCCTGTCACCAGAGGCAGAACCGAGATACGGATGCCTGTCCCACAGCCAGGCCCAGGGTTCTAGTCTGTTCCTGGCACTGGCACTACCAAGTACCTGTTTATTTATTTACTGCTTTTTGGGCCACACCTGGCAATGCTCAGGGGTCACTCCTGGCGGTGTTCAGGGGGCCCTATGGGATGCTGGGGATCAAACCCTGGTCGGCTGCATGCTAGGTAAAAAGCCCTCCTCGCTGTGCTACTGCTCAGGCCCCTGTTCATTTACTTTTGGTTTGGGGACCACACCCAGCAGTGTCCCGGGGTCACTCCTGGCAGTGCTCAGGGCACCGTATGGGATGCCAGGGATCAAGGTGGGGCTGGCAGCACGCAAGGCAAGCGCGTGAAGTTGTGCGAACTCTCTGGCCTGTGCATGTTTCCTTTTGCGGGCCACACCCGGTGCCACTCAGGGCTTCCTCCTGGTGCTGCTCAGGGCCCAGAAGGGGCAGCTGGGGATGGAAGCAGGGTGGACGCGGGTGCCGGGCAAACGCCCTCCTCGCTGTGCTATCGCTCCGGCCCTCGTTTCTTCCCTTTTTCTCCGGTTCTGGGCCACACCTGGCGGTGGCCGCGCGGGGACCACTCCTGGGTGCCCAGAGGGCCCTTCAGGATGCCCGGGGCTGCCAGGTGGGCCGGACTCCCGGTCAGCGCCTCTCCCGTTAATTCCTCCTGGGACAGAGCTGCCGCTCAGGCCCTGCCCGCACCGCCCGTGCTGACCAGAGCCGGGGACACGGCTGGGAAGGCGCCTCGGGCCGGTCAGCGGGCAGTGGACACAGCGCGCTGAGCGGCCCCCTCACCTATGCGGTCCAGCACGGCGGCCCGCAGCACGTCCACCAGCGCCTCGCGACTCGGGGTCCCTGGGCGCTGGCCCCCCTCGGCCCCCGGCCCGTGCCTGGGAAAGGGCGGGGGTCACTCTCGGTCCGGGGTCACTCTCCGCCCGCCCCCAGCTCCCTCCCGGGACTCGGAGAGGCCGCGCCGCCCGCCCGGGACGCACAGCACCAGCCGCCCCGCAACGCCGGGCCCCCGGGAGCCGCCCCCGCGGCCGCAATCACCCGCGCGCGGCGAGCACGCCCCCGGCGCGGGACCCCCGCAGCTCAGCCCACGCACGACCCCAGACCCCGCCGCCCCGCATGGCCGGGCCGGGACACTGCGCGTGCGCGCCCGCGCCCGCGCCCGCCGCGCGCTCATTGGCCAGCGGAGCCGTCAGTCGGGCCGCTCGTGGGCGGGTCTCGGAACGGCGGGGAGGCGGGGCTTCCTTTGCCCGGAAGGGAAGGGAATTTGAACTTGGGATTGGGGGACACTGAGGCACGGGGCCTTGGAGGAATTCAACCCGGCTGAGCTTAGACGGGACGAAAGGCTTGATTTTTCTGGTTTTGTTTCTGGGCCACACTCGGCAAATGCTCCAGGCTCACTCCTGGCTCCGTGCTCAGGGATGACTCCTGGCTCAGTGCTCAGGGATGACTCCTGGCAGGCCCAGGGGTGACTCCTGGCAGGTTCCAGGACCATATGGGATACTGGACATTGAACCAAGCTGGCTGCGTGCAAGGCAAATGCCCTCCCCACCATCCTGTCACTCCAACTCAGTTTTAATTTTTCTGGCCACCATTCCAACTCTTAGGAGTTTTCTGATATCAAAACCCCGCCTTTGTGCGCACGTTTGGTGAAGCAGAGGAAATCCACCACCCTCGGCCCAGTAAATATACTTGGAAAAACATAGTTTGGCACATAATCTAAGAGAAAAGGAAAAGTTCCCCTACGACATTATCGAAGCAAAATTAAAGCAACGTCACAATTGTGCTGTGATTAGATTCATAGAGATATAAATCAGATCACCCAGTCAACATTCAACTCAGGCTCCACCCAGGAGGTCCACGGGGTTCCCGTCCTGGGTGTGAGGACACTGCAGTCCTCCTAGCTAAGATCAGGGGAGAAGGTAGGGCCAGGTGGGACGGGTGGGGCCAGGTGAGACCCGGTGGGTTGCCAACAGAAGTTCTAAAAGAATTTCCCAGGAAGGCTGGTGGGGTGGGGGAGGCGGAGGGAGGAGCATGACAAGAAAGAGGCAGGACAGCAGGTAGGACGCGTGCATGCAGCCGACCCGGATTGATCCCTGGCAATGTTCCCTGGTCCCCCGCCCCCGAGTCTCCCAGACCCACCAGGAGTGATCCCTGAACGCAAAGCCAGGAGCAAGCCCTGAGCACTGCCAGGTGTGGCCCCCAAACAAAACCAAATAAACAATAATAATGCTCGAGCGGGCCCAGTAACGTCTCCATTGGACACTTTGCTGTTACTGTGTCTGGCATATCAAATACGTCACGGGGAGCTTGCCAGGCTCTGCCGTGCGGGCGAGATACTCTCGGTAGCTTGCTGGGCTCTCCGAGAGGGGTGGAGGAATCGAACTCGGGTCGGCCATGTTGGCTGCGTGCAAGGCATATATATATATAATATGTATATATATATTTTGCTTTTTGGGTCACACCTGGCAATGCACAGGGGTTACTCCTGGCTCTGCACTCAGGAATTACTCCTGGCGGCGCTCAGCGGACCATATGGGATGCTGGGTATCGAACTCAGGTCGGCTGCGTGCAAGGCAAACGCCCTACCTGCTGTGCTATTGCTCCAGCCCCAATAATAATAAATTTTTAAAGGAAAAAAGAGGCGTTAGATGGGAAACCAAGCAAGAAAAGAATGAGTTCTCACCTGTAATCTCACCTTTAAAAAAACTGGTGGCTCCCAGGGGGTTGTTTATTTGCTCAGAGTCCTATTATTTTTTATTTGGGGCCACACTGGGTGGTACTAGGGGATGCTCCTGGCTCTGTGCTCAGGGATGCTGGGAATCATGCATGCAGGATTGAACTAAGGTCCACCGAAAGTGCCTCCTGTGCCGTCTCTCTGCCTCTGGTCCCTATTTCAGGTCACTGTTTTCATTGTTGGCACCAGGCTACAAATTTACCGCAACCCATTCACAGTGGAGCGATCATTAAGGACATTTCCAGAATGCAGGTATGAAAGGAAGGATGAAGCTCTTTGTGCTTCTTATATGAAACCACTCCCAGAACGCAGTAGAGCAAAAAAACAACTGAAAGATAATGTGATTAGACCACACACACACACACACACACACACACACACACACACACACACGCTTTTTATGCATTTAGTATACTCAGGTACTTTTCCATTCCTGAAAAGACATACAAAAATGAGATAGTGGTTGCATCCGGATAAGCAATCTGAGATAACTGGGCTGGAGAGACGGGCACAGCGGGCATGGTACTTGCCTTGCACATAACCAACCTGGGTTTGAACCCTGGCATCCCATCTGGTCCTCAAAGCCTGCCAGAAGTTATTCCTGAGCTCAGAGCCAGGAGTAAGCCAGAGCACTGCCAGGTTTCTGGCAAAAACAAACCAAGAAAAGAAATCAAAGATGACTGGACTAGAGTGATAGTACAACAGGCAGGGCACTTGCCTAGCTCGCGGTTCACCTGGGTTCAACCCCCAGCATCCCTTATGTTCCCCCAAGCTCTGCCAGGAGTGATCCCTGAGTGCAGAGCCAGAAGTAAGCTCTGAGCACTGCTAGGTGAGGCAAATAAATAAATAAATAAATAACACTCTGGTTATGCAGTAACTTAGACACCCTGATGTTGAAAGTTCTGAACAAGCATAAGCTATGGAAATGCAAATTTAATCTGAAAATACTTTGTGAAGTTTCCTCTGGAAAGAATTCATCTTCTCAAAATGGTAAAATTCACCCTCCAGGGTCCCGGGATGTCGCTGAAAAGGTAGCAGATCCCTAGCATGTGTGAGACCCTGTGCTCAGTCCCCAACACTGCATCACACACACACACACACACTCACATACACACATACACACACTCACACACTCACACACAGTTACATACACGCACACACACATACACACACTCATACATACACACTCACACACATACACACACACTCTCTCTCTCTCTCACACACACAGTTACATACACGCACACACACACATGCACACACTCATACACACACACTCACATACACACATATTCTCACACACACACACACACACACACACACACACCAGCACTGCAGAGTGTGACCTGTGCCCTGGAGTCCCCGCAAGTGTGGTCTACATAAGAGTGAGTGACAAAAAATTAAAACTTCAAACTTCAGATCTTACTCTCAGGAGGATTAAGTTACAGCAAGGAACTTGAACGCAGATATATAGATACACAGGTAGATCTTTCAGAGGTTCCCAGATGTTCCCAAATAACCTTTTTTTTCTTTGCAGAACAAAAAAACAACTTAGGGAGCAATAGTACAGAGGAAGAGGTGTTTGCTTTGCACACACCAACCTGGGTTCAATCACGGGCACCCCATATAGTCACTGGAGCTTGCCAGGAGTGATCCCTGAGCACAGAGCCAGGAGTGAACACTGAGCACCCCTGGGTGTGTTCCTCCTCAAACCAAAACAACAGAAAACTTGCTTGAAACCCTTTGGAAATCGACTTCTTCGTTTTTCCTTTTTTTTTTCAGTTTTGGGGCCACACCCAGCGGCACTTGGGACATAGCACGGCTCTTTGTGGCACTCAGGGGACAGTGAGGTCCTGAGGATGACCTCTGGCTCCCATGTGCAAGCAGGTACACCTGCATCGCACTGCTTCTCTGGCCCACTTGGGCCTTCTTTAAGTGAACAAACAGGAAGCACCCCCAGTTGCAAAGAAATGCACCTTGGCCTCCTAGTGTCCCCCAGGGGGCAGTGTCACCACCTCTGAGAAGTTCTGATAGATCTGAATTTTACAGAGTCAGGTAGAATGAGTGTGCCTGCCCCCGCGCCTGGCTATCCTCGCCTGGGCCCCTTGGAGGGGAGCGGGTTGAGCTTTCCTCCCCGCCCCGACCAGGGCTCCGGCAGCCGAAGACCTCCAGGACCAGCCACCACCATGCTGAGACCACTCTCCTCACACATGAAGGTACTGGCAGAGGGACAAAGTCACGCAGGTTCCGGGGACGAGATCTCCAAGCCTACTCGGATTTGGGCCGAGCATCCTCCACCCAGATCCTCCAAATTCCAGCAGGCAGGGGTCACACCCACCACCTGGCCCCCTGGCGCCGTGTAATCCCATCAGCGGCCAAGACTTAGAGACTATAAAATCCAGCTCCCGGAACCGTGCGGCCGCATTTGCGGCCACGCGACATCTTATTATGTCATCTCATTATCTCATTCCTACTTTGGACAAACTGGCAGGCTATCGAATGTAGCCTGTTCACACGGCAGAGTCTGGCAAACTCCCCGTGGCGTACCCAATATGCCAAATACCAGTAACAATGATGGATCTCATTCTCCTAAAGAGCCTTGAATATACTCTCAGGGCTAGGATGAAGGAGACGTTACTGGGGCCTGCTCGAGGCAATCGATGAATAACAGGATGATTCGTGATTTGTGATTTTGATTTGTGATTGAAGTGTGCAATTAGGGAAGGCATTGAAGGATGCTTGGGTAGCCCTCCAGGGTACTTTGGTTACTTTCCCACCCAAATATTTAAAAGTTGGTAACAAAGGTGCACGGTGCCACCAGCAGGCCATCCTGGACCTGCGAACGAGGGCATCAGCAGCCTCACGGTGCCTTCAGGCTTCCTGATACCCCAAAATTGCCACTGTGCCTCTGGCCGGACCCCAATAACTTGGGAGCGAGTTTTCCGAGAAATTAAATGGCCAGAAGTTAGGTATGTGGAAGCCACGCCCACACACCACCTCCGGCTCAGCTATATAATCATTTATCGGCCTTATGTCAGAGACCCATAAATCAATCTCGAAAGAGATCAAAAGTCGCAGTTAACTTAGGATCCGAACAAGGCTGAACAGACCAGGGTAAATTGGAAGTGGAGGGTGAGTCAGCCTGGTGCCCGCCCAAGCAGGACCCCTGGCAGCTGGACCTCCCACAATCCAAAATTGCTGACGGACTCCACCGTCTCAGGACAGACCTCACTTACGTATGCGGGTGATTTTGTGACTGAAATCTCCTGGCTTTGTCAGGGTCGGGATGGGTTACCGTCCTCCACCTCCCTGTACTTCCAGAAGCCTCGGCAATCATGTCTACACCCCAAAGCTGCCATCCAGTTAAAAGCTGTTCCAGCCTTACCTTTTCAGTGAAAATACCGAATCCCTGAACAAACGTGATGACCTCTTAGTGCCTGTATTGCAAACCATAACGCACAAAGAGAGAGAGAGAAAGAAGAAAAGTGCCTGCCATAGAGGGGGCTGGTGGTGGAGGGCGTGGGGGGTTAGTGGGAGGGAAATGGGGGACAGGGTGGTGACACCAGTGGAGGGATGGGCGTTGCATCACTGACTGAAACCCAATCACGGACAGCTTTGTAATGGCCTCTCTCACAGATCTCACTTAAAAAAACAAGTTGGTAATAAAACACAACACAGACGGGAGATGCTCTGCATGCAGAAGGCTCCGATTCCACCCGTGCACTGCCAGCACTGTCTCCCGAGCACTGAGCTGGGAGTTAACTCCTGAGAACCACCACTGTGGGCCCCACCAGAAAAGCAATAATAAAATAAAATGTAACCCGGAGAAGTTTCAAGAATCCCACCCTGCCGACCGAATCCTTCAGCTAGGCTCACCGATTCCGGAAATTGTCACTGACTGCCTTGTTCACAGGTCTGCTGTACCGCGCACATGACAGACAGCACTTGCAGACAGAGCTTCAACAGCAAACTGGGAGTTGAGATAGTGCTGCTGGGGTAGAGTGATAGTCCAGCGGGGAGGGCATTTGCCTCACACGTGGTGGACCCGGGTTCGATCTCCAACATCCCATTTGGTCTCCGGAGCACCACCAAGAGTGATCGCGGAATGCCGAGCCCAGACTAAGCGCTGAGCACCTCTAGGTGTGATCCCAAAAGCCAAAAGGCAAGGGGCTGGAGCAATAGCACAGCAGGGAGGGCGTTTGCCTTGCACACGGCCGATCTGGGTTTGATTCCCAGCATCCCATATGGTCCCCCGAGCACCACCAGGAGTAATTCCTGAGTGCAGAGCCAGGAGTAACCCCTAAGCATCACCGGACGTGGGCCAAACAACAGACAAACAAGCAAGAAACGTGCTGTTTCAGACAAGAGTTAGTCCAGGGCTCCTGATGGTCGCCTGCATTGGTCCTTGGCACTGAATCTGGTCACCAGAACACTGCCGGGATTCGCTCCTGAGCACAGAGCCGGGAGTAGCCCCTGAGCACTGCTGCGTGGGCCCCCTACGGAGGGGGGAGGGAGTTTGCTTCTCAAACCCTCCCTCGGACCTCTCCAGCCTTGGAACAGAAGCCCAGCCTGGCTCCCACGCACACAGCCACACGAGCGGACGGCATGAATAATTTATTGCCACACGTGGGTTCACCGCTGACTCAGTGGGAGGAAGCGTCACAGGGCAGCGGGGTCAGACCCCACGGCGGCCTCCAGCGGGCTCCAGCCCCGCTAAGCTCCCTGGGCAGGAGGTGCCAGGTCAGACCCAGAACTCCGGGTTCTCCTTCGGCCCCCCTGTGGGGGTCTGGCACCCCCGTCTCCGCTTCTCTCCCGTGTTCCTGTGGAGTAAGAGGTACGGCGAGGCCTGCGGCTCTCTAGCTGCCAGGCTGTGGGTGCTCCCGCCTGGGCAGGGGCCCCCCGCGAGGCCTCACTGCAGCATCTTCAGACACGTGGGGAGGAGGGAGGAGGCCTTGGGTTGGGGGAGCTGCCCGCCCTCCGTGGCATCCAGGACTTGCTCCATGTAGCAGGAGGTGCCGAGCAGCATGTGGCCTGTGGCCTGCATGCTGAAGATGGCCCAGCGGAGTGTCTGCCTGCAGGGAAGAGGCAGACACGTTAAGCCCACGGCAGACATGTTAAGCCCACGCCCGCCCCGGCTGCGGCCCTGAGCTGCCGCCTCCCCCGTCTGCGCTCCTTTCTGGAATCATAAACTGGAGCAAAGGGCAGACAGACAGACAGACAGACATGGCCGTGGCCTTCCCTCTGCCAGCGGGAAGGGCCCCTGGGCGTGTGCCACAGACGCGCCAAACTGGAAAGAGGGCCCATTTCCTCTGGCAAAATTCAAGTTCCTTTCCTGCTGCCTTTCATTCTCAGCTCTGCTCTTCGTCCTCGGTGCTCGGTGCTCAGCCCATGGGCTGAACCTCTCCCGGGCTAACACGGCCGGCCCGAGGCTCCGGGTGGAGACGGCGTGGGAGGAAGCCAGAGGAGAGCTCTAATGCCGAGCCCTGTCTTATCTCTGAAGCACAGAGCTGAGATGGGAGGAACTTGAATCCCAGAGGGCGGGCGGAGACAGAGTTGGGAAATGCACGGCCATGGTTAGGGTTGAGCGGGAAAGCATCTGTGTGTGGGATGGGTGTCAGGTTCCAGCACTTAGGACACCACCACGTATGATCCGACATCACTGACTGCAACAAAACCAGTAGTTGAATGACTGAGCACTGAACCAGGTCCTAATCCAGAGCTTTAAATGAGATGGAGCGAACAGAGATGGGTGGGGCCGGGGCCATAGTATAGTAGGTAAGGTGCCCACCTGGCACACAGCCAACCCTGTTTGAATCCCGACACTCTGCTGGTCCCCCGAGAGCTGCCTGGAGTGATCCCTGAGCACAGAGCCAGGAGTAAGGCCTGAGCACCACTGGGTGTGGCCAGAACAAAAGAAACCAAGACCAAAATTGGTATCTTGGGGCCTTGGCTCAGGGTTCGAGACATTCTGAGGGGCTGGAGCGGGGAGAGCATTTGCTTTGCACGCAACCAACCCGGGTTCGATTCCCAGCATCCCATAAGGTCCCCCGAGCACCGCCAGGAGTGATTCCTGAGTGCAGAGCCAGGAGTAACCCCTGAGCATCGCTGCGTGTGACCCAAAAAGAAGAAAAAAAAAGACATTCTGTGAAAGTGTAGGGTCCAGGTTTAACCCTTGCCACTGCCCCTCACGCCATCCAGCGCCGTCCAGCTCCCAGGGACACAGAGCAGGGCAAAGGAGACCGGGGCAGGGCCTGCGTGTCTGGGATGGGAAAGGGCCACTGTGTCACCACAATGCCTCTGGTCCAAATCCAGCTCAGAGCCGGGCTGCTTCCCAGCACGCACAGGGCCCCGGGTTTGATCCCCAGCCCTGAGCACTGCTGGGCATGGCCGTGGTAGCCCCCAGCACAGCTGGGATGTGGTTAAAGTAGAAAACCTACCGGAGTGACTCGCATCTGTCTTGTTTTTTTGCTCTTTTGGGTCACACTCGGCGATGCACAGGGGTTCCTCCTGGCCCTGCACTCAGGAGTTACTCCTGGCGGTGCTCAGGGGACCATATGGGATGCTGGGATTCGAACCCGGGTCGGCTGCGTGCAAGGCAAATGCCCAACCCGCTGAGCTATCTCTCCAGCCTCCTATCTTTTGGTTTCTTTGGTGCTCAGGAATCACTCCTGGCGGTGTTCGGGAGACCATACACAACGCCAGGGATCGGACCCAGGACAGCCGTGGGCAAGGCCGGCACCTTCCCCCACCGTCCTATGGCTCCAGCCCGCCGCTATCATTTTTGTTCCTGGTCCTCTGTGTTCGTGCCCGAGAGTCCCACTTCCCCTGAACGGACAAGTTCATGGGCCGAAACTCCTTGCTCTAGATTTTGACATCTGCAAATCGCTGGCAGCAAATCTAGATCAAGGAGGAAGATTTCCAGCTCTGGGCTCCTCGCCTGAGGGTGTCTCGGTTGCAGCAACTCCAGGCCTAAGGGAGAGGAACCGAGAGAGACCAGACAGGGCCGGGAGAGCCAGAGTCACCCCTGCTCCACAGGGCCCCCAAACACTGCCTGGAGCATCATGGGGTGTGCCCCCAAAACTGAAGGGAAGAAAGGAGAAGAAGGGAAGGAAGGGGAAGAGAAGGGTGGGAGGGGGAGGGAAAGGAAGGAAAGGGAAAGGAGAGAAGGAGAGAAGGAAGGAAGGAAGAAGAAAGGAAGGAAGGAAGGAAGGAAGGAAGAAGGGAGGGAGGGAGGGAGGGAGGAGAGAAAGAGGGGGAGAGAAGGGAGGGAGGAAGGAAGGAGGGAAGGACAGAGGGAGGGAGGGAGGGAGGGAGGGAAGGAAAGAGGGAAAGAAGGAAATAAAGAAGGAAGGAAGGAAGGAAGGAAGGAAGGAAGGAAGGAGAGAGAGAGGGAGGGAGGGAGGAGAGAAGGAAGAGAAAGAAGGGGAGAGAAGGGAGAGAGGAAGGAAGGAGGGAAGGATGGAAGGAGGGAGGGAGGGAGAGAAGGAAGGAAGGAAAGAAGGAAGGAAGGAAGGAAGGAAGGAAGGAAGGAAGGAAGGAGGAAGGAAGGAAGGAGGAAGGAAGGAGGGGAGCAGGCAGGGAGGGAGGGCTCCACTCGTGGGCGCCACAGCGGAACCTCTGCAGCCCTCAGAACAGGCCACCCCCCCCCCCCCCCCCCCCTGCGCTTTGCAGCCCCGTCCCTGGAGGCTGGGGCAGTGCCCTTGGCTTGCTTCCCTTCCGCCTCACTGCAGCGCAGGCCAGACCCGCGGAGGGTGTCGCTCCTCCCTCGGTCCCGGCCACCTGTTTCAGGGCCACCTGCTGTGGTGGGGATGAGGCTTCCGAGGGCGTGGGACGCTCACGGGACTGAGCCTGCCCTGGACCACACAGGGCCCCCCGGCACTGCCAGGAGTAACCCTCAAGCTCTGCTAGGTGTGGCCACTCCCCCCCATATATTGGGGCTGAAGATTTAGGGGTCAGGTGCTTGGCCTGGTCAGGTGCTCTGGTCCTTAATCACTTAATCACTTAACTTCCCGTTAATCGTCGATTTGCTCGAGCGGGCGCCAGTAACATCTCCATTTGTCCCTGTCGCGTGCTAGTGTGGTGGGCTCTGGCCCACCCCAGCTAATTCGCCCCGAGTCACCGCCCAGCGGCACAGGAGCTGGGGGAGCCCCACTCCTCGTCTCTCGAGCCCTCCTCAGATGCCCCCATCCAAAAGGATCCAGGGCCAGAGCCAAAGCACACCGGGTCGCACGCTTGCCTTGCCCGCGGCCCACCCGGGTTTGATCTCCAGCACCGTCTAGTCCCTGCGCCCCTCCAGGAATGACCCCTGAGCACAGAGCCAGGGAGAGCCCTGGGTACCCAGGACGTGGCCCCCAAACAAAATAAGAACAACAACAACAAAAAGAAGATACGAGCTAGTTCCCCTGCGCGGAATTTAGCCCCCACCAGTGACGTCAAAGCAGCACACATAGATTAGAAAGTTCTAGACCCCAGCCACCAGCATCTCCCCATTTCCAGATCCCCGCGGCTCCCCGGGGCGGCGTGACCAGTCCCTCACCTCATGAGGCGCTTGGCCCCGGCGCAGTCCAGGTGGTAGGACAGGGAGTAGGTGCCGTAGAGCGTCGCCTTCACGTTCAGGCAGCCCAGGAAGTCCTGGGGGCTCATCTTGTACAGGTCGAAGGTCACGCGGGCCACGTCGATCTTCTGGGCAGGCTTCCGCGACAGGGACCGCTGGTGCTTGCTTCCCTGCTGGCGACAGGCCAGGGGTCAGCACCCTCGTCACCGCCCCGGGTCCGGTCCTCCCACGTGCCCAGCCCTCACCTGCTCCCAGGCCGGCTGCCACTTCTGCCCCTTCTGGAGCACCATGAAGACGGTGTCGTCCGCCAGTGCCTGGAAGTACTCCTCCGTCTCCACTGTCGTGCCATCTTCCTCCAGGACCAGGGAGAAGGGCTTGCTGGCGGGCAGCTCGGTGTCCCGGACCTGGGGATGGAGCCCGGTCATGCCCGTCCTCCCCACGCCAGAGGGGGCAGCGTGTCAAACCTGGGGCATCAAAGCGCGGCTCGGGCCCAGGCCTGTCTGTCTGGACACGCGCTCAGCTCGTCCCGCCTTGTTTGCTTGTTTGGGGGCCACACTCAGAAGTTCCTGTGTCCTGCTGTCACAGTGCTACAATGGAGCCCCCCACCTTCCCCACAACCAGACTACTAAAGCTTCCCACCACCACCAACTCCCCGGCCCTGGAGCTAGCCTGGGCACTGGTGCCCGCTTCACAAGCACGAGGGCTGGTGACAACTCGAGTTCGGTCATGCCACACCACGTGCCGGAGCTTGATCTCAGAGGCTCTGCTGTTTGGAGCCCAACAGCATGGCCAACCACTGAGAAGCACCATGATAAAGAAAGGGGGCGGGGGCTGGGCTGGAGTGAGAGGACAGCGGGGAGGGCATTGGCCTTGCACACGGCCGATGGGGGGGTTGATCCCCGGCATCCCACATGGTCCTCCGAGCACCGCCAGGAGTCATTCCTGAGTGCAGAGCCAGGAGTAACCCTGAGCATCTCTGGTGTGACCCAAAAAGCCAAAAAAAAAAAAAAAAAAAAGGAAAGAAAGTGGGCAGAAAGGCATCCCCACTGAAGGTGTGTGACCCAGGACCGGAGCTATAGAACAGAAGGGAGGACTCTTGCCTTGCACGCGACAACCCAGGTTCGATCCTCAGCATCACATAGGGTCCCCTAAGCACTGCTGGGAAGCGATTCCTGAGCACAGAGCCAGGAGTAAGGCCTGAGCACTGCCGGGTGTGGCCCTCCAAATTACCCAATCACTGTCACTGTCCTCCCGTTGTTCATCAATCTGCTTGAGTGGGTCCAGTCACGTCTCCATTTTGAGACTTGTTGTTACTGTGTTTGGTATATTGACTACGTCACGGGTAGCTTGCCAGGCTTTGCCATGCGGGCAAGATACTCTCGGTAGCTTGCCGGGCTCTCTGAGAGGGGCGGAGGAATCGAACCCGGCTCGGCCGGGTTGGCTGCGCGCAAGGCAAACGCCCTACCGCTGTCACTCCAGCCCAAAATATAAATAAATCACGTAGTACTACCTCTTTTACGTATAGGAATACTTGAGCCCTTTTTGCTTTCGTTTTGGGCCACACCCGGTGGTGGTCAGGGCTAACTCCTGGCTCTGCACTCAGGGATCACTCCTGGCGCGGTCGGGGGACCCTAGAGGGCGGAAGGATCCAAGCCCAGGCCGGCAAGTGCCTTACTCGCTGGACTTTCGCTCCGTCCCCTTGAGTCCCATCGATAAGGAAAGTTATCAAAATCTAACTTTCAACATATTTCTGTCAGCAAATAAATATGTCGAAAGCTAGACACATAATGAAAAGTTTAGTTGCTGTAAAGTAACTCCCCGGAATAGAGCTAACACAGAGGGAAGAACGAACTTTATATGAAGAGTTCTGTCTACCTCCTCCTCAGAGATTCAAGGAAACGGCAATGTGCCAACTTAAAAGTTTATGCTACAGTATAAGGTCTTTGTGTTTGGTTTTGGGGCCACACCTGGCAGAGCTCAGGGCCAACTCCAGGTTCTAGGCTCAGGAATCACTCCTGGAGGGCTTGGGGTGCCATATGGGGTGCTGGCGGTCAAACTGGGTCAGCCAGGTGCAAGGCCAGCGCCTCTCCCATTGTGCTATTGCTCTGGCCGCATGACAAGCTTTCGTTACATTGCAGACAGATGCACAAATGAAGGAAACAGATCCTTCTAAGCAGAGGAAAACATAAATGAACAATCGGATGTCAAGGCATTGGGTCCAGATAGAACCGTGGAGCAAGAACCAGCTCCCAGAACCCCTGTCCTGACACCAAGTGCCACCGAGAGCCCCCCCTGCCCTCTGTGCCTGGTGGTACTCACACACCTGAGTTCTGTGCCGGAGATCACACACTCCGTGTGACCCCAACAGGCACGGGCAGCAGAGCTGCCAAGGCCCCGTTGGGTGACTGAACCCCATTGTCCTCCCGTGGCCGATGAGACTTCAACTCTGATACCAATAACAGCATCACCGCCCATTGGCCCCTAACTCTTCGGTTTGGGGGCGACACCCAGTGGTGCTCAGGGGACCACATTGAACCTGGGTCAGTCACGTGCAAGGCAAGGACCCTGCTCGCTGGGCTATCCTTGCCGGGGCTCCTAACCCTGCTCCTTTCAGTCTTCTGCCAAATGTGGGAGGCGAGACTGGCGTCCCCCTGTTCCCTCAGTCAGGGTCACTTTGCCCTCCATTCTGTCACACTCCCCGACCTCGGCGTCCTGTGTCCACCTTCATCTCCCTGTACCCATTCATTTGGCAGAAACGGAGCCCCCCCTCCACTGCTTATACCTATCCCCTCTGCAGTAGGCGCCCGCCCGGATGGTCCCCATGCTTGGGGACTATAAGATCCCTAGGAGGGAGGCTCGAGCAATAGGACACCGGGCAGAGCATTTGCCTTGCACACAGCTGACCTGGGTTCGATCCTCGGCACCTCTTATGGTTCCCTGAGCCCCACCAGGAGTAATTCCTGACAGCAGAGCCAGGACTAAGACCCGAGCACCACCAGGTGTGGCCTCCAAGCAAGCAGCCCCATAAAAAATCCCCAGGAAAAGATAGGGCATACGGGCTGCCCGGGATTGAACCTGGGTCTGCTGCATCTATGGCAAGTGCCTGACCTGCTGTACTATTGCCTCAGCCCCTAGAGAGAGACATTTACTGTAGGGAATTGGCTCCCACAGCAGGGCTAGCAGATCTGCAATCTGTAGGGTAGACTGGAAGGCTGGACAGCCAGGAAGAGTTGCAGCTCAAGAATCCCCAGAAGAATATGTGGCTACACCCAAGACCTGCCCAGTTTCAGGGGTGAGGACCAGCAACCCTGCAGACAAGGTCATTTTGGAGGAGAAGGAGAAGGTCCCCAGAGGTTCCCCTGACGTCAAGAAAAGAAACACAGTAGCACATCCCGATTCAACTATGAAAGAGCCAGGGCTGGAATGATAGCACAGCGAGGAGCGGGTAGCGTATTGGGCTTGCATGTGGCCGACCCGGGTTCGATTCTCAGCATCCCATATGGTCCTCTGAGCACTGCCGGGAGTAATTCCTGAGTGCATGAGCCAGGAATAATTCCTGTGCATCTCTGGGTGTGACACAAAAAGCAAAAAAAAAAATATATATATATATATATATGTATATGAAAGAGCCTTTGGATTTAAAGCATAAATGGATAGGTGAGTCCAAAAAATGGAATCCCAGGGGGGGAAAATCCCAGATGAGAGAAATGGGGGAAGATCCTGGCGCCAGGACTAGCTCCGCTCTCATTTCTGTCAATCAAACAGAGTTAGTGGCCAGGCCTGGCGCTGTGCCAGGCGCCCCTGGGAAAATCTTGCCCTGTGTTGCCCACTTTGAAACACCTGGGCATGGAGCAAGGCGGAGCAAGTGGGGAGGCTCCCAACTGAGCAGAGAAGCAGCAAGGGGACGGGAAAGGGGATCCCCGACATCCGCCCTTCCTCCCTCCAGAACCCCAGGTCTGCCCTAAGTGCCGTCCTCTCGACGCTGGTCTGCTCAGTAGAGAACAATCCAGAAAGGGAGATCACCCGGGTGAAGGGTGGAGATGGGGCCAGGAAGGCCACCGGCTGTGTCTTGCCCCTCATTCCAGATACTTCTGTGGAAAGGGGCTGTCCAGGTCCTTTCAGAGAAGCAGGCATCGGAAATGCCACCCACCATTAGTGCAGGTGGCCCCCGGGCCTCCCCTCCCCCACAAGCCTTGGTAACCGACTGGCCAGCTCCGCAGGCGGGCAGGGGCAGAGCGAGCGTCCAGCGCAGCCGCCAAGTGCTGCCCGGGCCGGCCCGCTAGCACATGCATGACCCAGGGGACGAGGCGCGGCCGGCCAGCCCCTGCGAGGTCACGGCGCCCTCACCTTGCCCAGGAGATCGTCCAGGCTGCGCGCCATGATGCCCTTGCGGATGCTGCGGTCGGCGCTGCTAACCTTGCAGGGCCGGGCCCGGGGCGCCTCGGCCTCCACCAGCTGCTGGGTCACCACGGAGGTGGCGCTCACGGCCACGTACCTGCGGGCAGGTGGGAGTATGGCACGCGACCTCTCTGGCCTCTGATCTCCCCGCCACCACGGGAGTGACACGGTCCCCAGCCCCCCAGACCGAGGCCCCAGTGCCAGCACCCAGTCAGCCTGCTGGCCCCACAGCTGATGTCCAGGGCACATCTGGTCCCTGGCGCCTGGCTGAAACGTGGAGGTTGTTTACCGGACGAGCTGGGGCCAGAGACTGTTTCTAGGTTCCCAGAATCCCCAGCTGCAGCTACTGGTTCTCGCACCCCTCAAGTAGCAAGAACATGAAGACCCTCCCAGGTCCCCCTGAGCCTCACGCCTCACACCTCAGGCCAGAGAGAGGTGACACAGCAGAGGCCCAAGACCTTCCGGCAGAGTCTGACAAAATCATGCGACATGGTGGGATGCAGGGCTTTGGAGTCAGCGATCAGACTGGGGTTTGCTGACTATGGGCTTCCTTCCCTGTGCCTCAGTTTCCCCCTCGGTGCGTTTGACCTGAGAACCTCTGTTTCTCAGTGGTGGTGATGTGGGGGGGGGAGTGGGGAGGAGATGGATTCAGGAATGAACACAAGCCCCAGTGCACCTCTTTCTGCTCAATGTGAGGGGAGTAGGGGCGGGGAGGGGGCGGAAGCAGGAGCGTGAGGTGGGAACGATCTGTGGGTGTGCGGAACCCGGGGTCTGCTTTGTCCCAGCAGAGTGGCCTCTGCATCCCCAAGAGGCTCCGGGGCTCGGGCAGGACTACCACCCTCGGGCTGCTCCCCGCAATCTCCACCCTTGATTCTCACCTGGAGAGGGACTTGGGGTTCAGCAGGCTGAGGGACTTCATGGCATATTCCATCTTCGTCAGTTGAACCACACTGGACCTGGGGAGAAAGCAGAAACGGCTCCTTGAGGGGTGATGGGAGGGAGCCCCCCGCCCGCCCCGTCTCCCCTTCCACACAGCCCCCTGCAGCTAGCCCGCTTCCTTGCAGGCGCCCTTCTCAGCTCCTGTGTCCCTCAGTGCCCAGATCAGCGCCGTCCACTCACTCCATGTTGCTCCTTCCCTGGCTCTGGCCACACTGACGGGGATCACGAGTCACCAGAAGGCCTGCCCAGCCCACACCCGGCCCTGGGGACAGAGTCCACTTGGACGCTGGCAGATGAGTCACATCACCCGGGATCCAACCCTCATGTGTGGTCCCAGGATCAGGTCCAGTGATAGGACAGCAGGGAGGGTGTTTGCCTTTCCGGGTTCGAGCCCCAGCACCCCAGGTGGTCCCCTGAGCCCTACCTGGAGTGAGCCCTGAGCACTGAGATAGGAATAAGCCCTGAGCACCGCTGGGTGTGACTCACCGCCCCCCAAAAATTAGGAGTAGGGAGGGGCCAGAGAGGTCATACATGGGTAAGGTGTTTGCCTTACACGTGGCCCACTGGGTTCAATCCTAAATTGTCCCATATGGTCCTTAAGCACCACCAGGAGTGATTCCTGCACACAGATATGGGAATAAGTCCTGAGCACTGCTGAGTGTGGCCCAACCCCTTCCCCCAGAAAAGGGTTAGAGGTGGGCCAGAAAGACAGTACAGTGGGGAGGGTGCTTGCTTGCACACAGCTGACCCGGGTTCTATTTCCAGCATCCCATATGGTCCCCTGAGCACCTCCAGGAGTGATTCCTGAGTGCAGAGCCAGGAGCAACCCCTGAGCATCACCAGCTGCAGCCTCGCCTGCATCCCCTCCAAAAAACAAACAAACAAACAAAAAAAAACAACAGAAAAGAGAACCTGGCAACAGAGCAGCCCGAATCCCCAAGGGGCTTTGAGTAAGCCCAGCCCGCTGGAGGCTCCCTGGGGGCCCAGGCACGCACAGGATAGAGACGCGGCATGAGACAGCCCAGAATCTCCTCTCCACCTCAGCTCCTGGTGCTTCAACCATCCACAGCCCCGAGGCTCTGGCCACCTGCCAGGCAGCGCAGCCCTCCTGAGTCTGGGCTCTGTCCACCTCAGCCCCGCTGTCCTCGGACCCAGCTCTGCAGCTCAGAGCTCCTGCCTATGGCCCTGCCCGGGACCTCCCCCCCCCCACCACCACGCCATGGTGATGGTCACACCTTCTCCCTCTCTGGCCCCAGCCTCTGTGCCTGCCACAGCCCCCGGCCTGGGTGCCTGCCTGGGTGGTCTCTGAATGCCCCCACCAGCCTGCGGAACTGGCCTGGCTCAGAGCTGAGGCTGTGAGGGTCACAGAGCAAACCCCAGGTTTGGTAAAATCACTCCTTTCAACCCCTCAGGGGCTGTCTGTGCATCCCCTCACCCCCTGGACAGGCCTCCAGCCCACTGCTCTGGGCCTCTCTCTCCTCTCTCCCACCTCACCTGCTCTTCAAGATCAGCGGCAGAAACCAACTCCTTACCCAGCCTCCTGACCAGCCTGCCAAGCCGGACCCTCCCTCCTTCCATTTTATTCCAGCTCCCAAGCTAGCCCCTCCCCAGCCTTCAGCCCCAACTGGGCAAAGGAGCACGGGCAGTGCATGGCCAGCCCTGGGGACAGCTGGGCAGCCCAGCTTCCAGAAAAGGCCTGGCAGTGGGGACAAGGGGTGGGTTGGGAGGAGGGGGGAGTATTTCGAAAGCACAGGGACCGGGGAAGGCCCCAGTATCAGGCACAGAGGGCACAGAAAACAAGCTGGTGGCAGGGGTCCCAGACAGCCCCAGTTTGCTGTGCCCCAGGGTGCGGGCGAGCTGCCTTAGCCCAGGAGCTCGTCTTTCACCCATGAGACAGGTGTCATGACTGATTCCTGCGCAGAAATGTTGAGGGAATGGCCCATGGGAACGGACGGAATATTTAGAAGTAAATATTGGGGTTATTGATAATAATGCCATCTAATAAAACCTGAGACATAAAGCTGGAGTGTGTGTGTGTGTGTGTGTGTGTGTGTGTGTGTGTGTGCGTGAAAGATGAAGGGAAATAAGAAAACTTAGATGCAGTCAGGTCAGGAAGCGGCTCATTGGCTGAGGGTATGTCCCTCATGCCAGGGGCCCTGGAACCATCCCCCAGACAGCCAAAGAAAAAAAAACTGAACCCTAGACATATGCCTGGATGCCACAGCATTACTTATAATAACCAAAGGAGAGATGACTCCAGTATCCATCAAATAGTAAATGGATACAAAATATGGCTTATGGTGGGCCTGAGAGATAGTACAGCAGGTAAGGCGCTTGCCTTGCTCACGGCTGGCCCGGATTCAATTCCTGGCACCACATGTGATCCCCAGAGCCTACCAGGAGTGATCCTGGAGTGCAGAGCCAGGAGTAAGCTCTGAGCAGAGCCGGATGTGGCACAGATGATATTCATGTTAGGTGGGGCTAGACAGACAGAAAGGGCTTGCCTTGTATGCAGTTGACGTGATTCAAATCCTCAACACTACAGATGGTCCCCAAGCTCATCAGGGATCACTCCTGAGCACAGAGCCCAGAATAGACCCTGAGCACTGCAAGGTGTTGCCAAAAACAAAAGCAAAACGTGGTGTATGCACATTTTGAATTTATACAGATAATTGAAGTGTTGTCAATTATGCGTTTTCATACTGTTAGATGGATGAGTCTTGAAAACATGCCAACCTGGGTTCAATTCCCAGCATCCCATGTGGTCCCCTAAGCACCACCAGGAGTAACCCCTGAGCTTCGCTGGGTGTGACACCCAAAAAGCAAATAAATAAAAACATGACCAAGTGGAAGGAGGCAGTCACCAGACCACTTCATGCACATTACAGATCACATGCAGAGCATTGGCCAAACTGGAAAGACTAAGGAACTTGGCAGTTGCTGATTGGGATTGGGGTTAATAAATTTCTTCCAGGGAAACCACAAATGCTATATATTCATCTAGACAAAATTTATGTGGACAATGGTTGTGCAGCCTTGTAAACAGACTGAACAGAGTTAGCTTGTACACATGCACGAGTGATTTGTATGGGATGTGAACAGAACTGTTTTTTCTTGGCAAGAGAGAGTCACTCCCAACGGTCACTGTGCATGGGTGAACATCAGGGTCATTCCCTCCGGGGCTTGGACTGGGAGGGGCAGGGCATCTGCAGAGCTGGGGATAGAACTCAGGGCTTCACACGTGCAAGGTAGGTGCTGTCCCACTTGAGTCCAATTCCTGGGCCCTCAAAAAAAAAAAAAGTGTTTTTAGAGGAGTTCCAGCTCATCTCTCTCAGTTGTGCAGAGAATTACCAGGAGGGCTTGTTACAATTGATATTGGGCAGAAAAGACAATATAGGGGGTGAGGTGTTGGTCCTGCATGCAGCTAACCCCAGTTTGATCACTGGCACATGGTCCACATGCACTGCGGGGGTCACTCCTGAGCACAGAACAGTTTCTGGACACCACTCCGTGGTCCCCTCTCCCATAAAATGAAGGATCGGTTGTTGGCCCCTACCCGCATTTCCAGCTCAGTGTGTGTGTGTGTGTGTGAAGTGTACTGCTGATGGGGTCCCAGTGAAGCATTGCTCAGCAAACGCACTTTGATCTGCATATGGCCCACCATACTGTGAGCATCGCCAGGTGTGTCCAGCTGAGCAGAGCCAGGAATAGCCCCTGAGCACCAGTAGATGCAGTCCCCAAACCCTCAATCTAAAAACATTTTTTGTTCTCCAGGCTCTCACTGAGTTGGGAATGGACAACCTTCCCCCATCTCCCCGTTCTTCCAGGAGCCTGGCAGTCACACCCACAATTGCCTCTGGTGCTCATTAACGACCATGATCCAGAGATTCACAAATCTTGGAAGAGAGCCACAAGCTGCAGAGGGGACTCTGAACCCCAAAGTCACCTCCAGTTGTATCACCCTATTTAAAATTTTAGAATTCTTGAAGTACATGGCCACATTCATGGCCACACATTTCATACTGTACTTCACTGATGTACAAAGAGTAGCACACCACATTTGATGGGATGTAAGGTAAAAGGCAACCGATCTCAATAAACTGTCACTGTCTCTCCTCCTGTCGTTCATTGATATGCTCAAGTGGGCCCAGTAACATTGTGAGACTTATTACTGTGTTTGTCATATCGAATATGTCATGGGTAGCTTGCCAGGCTTTGCCGTGCAGGCGAGATACTCTTGGTAGCTTGTCAGGTTCTCCGAGAGGGGTGGAGGAATCGAACTTGGGTCTACCATGTTGGCCATGTGCAAGGCAAATGCCCTGCCCAATGTGCTATCACTCCAGCCCGTCTCAATAAAAATATATATATATAAAATATATATTAGCACATGGGCTGGAGCGATAGCACAGCAGGTAGGGCTGGCAAAGGGCGTTTGCCTTGCATGCAACCAACATGGCCGACCCGAGTTCGATTCCTCCGCCCCTCTCGGAGAGCCCGACAAGCTACCGAGAGTATCTCGCCCGCACGGCAGAGCCTGGCAAGCTCCCCGTGACGTATTCGATATGCCAAACACAGTAACAACAAAGTCTCCAATGGAGACGTTACTGGGCCCACTCGAGCAAATTGATGAACAACAGGAGGACAGTGTATGACAGTGTATTAGCACACAAGGCTCAACCTGTAAAAACATGTTAGTAATCTCTTACACAAGGGCTTAATGCTCTAGGGTCACTGTCACTGTCCTCCCGTTGTTCATCGATTTGCTCGAGCGGGCCCAGTATAGTCTCCATTGTGACACTTGTCACTGTGTTTGGCATATCGAATACGTCATGGGGAGCTTGCCAGGCTCTGCCATGCGGGCGAGATACTCTCGGTAGCTTGCCGGGCTCTCTGAGAGGGGCGGAGGAATCGAACTCGGGTCTGCCATGTTGGCCATGTGCAAGGCAAATGCCCTACCCTATGTGCTATCACTCCAGCCCGTCTCAATAAAATATACATATATATAAAATATATATTAGCACACAAGGCTCAACCTGTAAAAACATGTTAGTAATCTCTTACGCAAGGGCTTAATGCTCCAGGGTAAGATATAAAAATCCTCACACACTTTCCTCTAAGGAAACTTTTTTTGGCTAATTTTTAACAAATTATTCATAACAAGCTATGCTATCGCGGGTAGGGCGTTCGCCTTACAAGCGGCCAACATGGCCGACCCGAGTTCGATTCCTCCGCCCCTCTCGGAGAGCCCGGCAAGCTACCGAGAGTATTCGATATGCCAGCCACAGTAACAACAAAGTCTCCAATGGAGACGTTACTGGGCCCGCTCGAGCAAATCGACGATCAACGGGAGGGCCTTTACCTTTTTTTACCTTTTATTCATAACAAGCTATAGAAAATAAGTTATTTGTTTTGCTGCTTTTGGGGCAGGCTTGGGTAGTGGTAGGAAAATTCAAAATAATGGTGGTGGGATTGTGGAATATTAAATGAAGTATTGTGAACTTTATTTTATTAATTATTATTATTTGCTTCTTGGGTCACACCCGGCGATGCACAAGAATTATTCCTGATGGTGCTTGGGAAACCATATGGAATGCTGGGGATCAAACCTGGGTCTGTTGTGTGTAAGGCAAATGCCCTACCCTCTGCACTATAGCTTCAGCTCTTGTGAACAACTTTATAAAAATAAAATTGAAAGTTTTCTCAAGAAATAAAAATAGGGGCTGGAGTGATAGCACAGCGGGTGGGGCGTTTGCCTTGCACGCAGCCCGACCCAGGTTCGATTCCCAGCATCCCATATGGTCCCCTGAGCACGGCCAGGAGTAATTCCTGAGTGCATTAACCAGGAGTAACCCCTGCGCATCGCTGGGTGTGACCTAAAAAGCAAAAAAAAAAAAATAAAAAAATAAAAAAAAATAATTTGTTAATGTAAAGCAGAAAAATTAAAATAGCTGCTACCCTATCATATCATGACACTTAAGACAACTAAGATATGTACTTGTTTCAGGCCACATGAACAGACACTGTGCCCATCATCTTCACCACCCTCATCAGTAGTAACAATGGCAGAATTTAGGTCTGAATCCTTCCCTGGAGGAGCTTCCAGGCAAGCATCATTTATTCATTTGGCCTCTCTTCTTTAAGGTCGTTTTGGTAACAGCCCCTTGGGCTGAAAATGTGGCAGGAAGCCAGGCAACCTCCACGCCATTGATTTGAAAGAACTATGCACGTGAGCAAGTTCTGCAAAAGGGACAAGGAGAGCAGATGACAGGCAAGTGGGGTGGGGACTCAGGAAAAATCCCCAAGATATCTGAGTGTGGGGCTAAAGGGTGGCTAAGGGGTGTGTGTGTGTGTGTGTGTGTGTGTGTGTGTGTGTGTGTGTTTGAGGTCAGGGAAAGGCCAGTACAAAGGATTTAAGCCCAGAAGAGACTGGAACATCAGTTGGTAAATTTGAGTAGCAGCAGCAAAGTGCAAACAAACACTTGTGGGAGGAAGTTCTGGGGAAAAGGTTGGTGCTTCATCAAGAACATTCATGCCTCAACCATTTATTGAACATGCCTTCTGGGCTCTGTGGCCCAGATAAGCCTTTGGTGACTCAGAAGCTATGGACCTTTCAATGCATCTATTCAATCAACCAGCATTGTCTCAAGCTGTTGCACTTGGGGCACTCTGGGCTCCTGGGGGCACAGAGCACCCCAAACTCCTCTCTGCTGGCAGTGAGGGAAACAGGTGGTGGAACATGAGCCTCAAACTGCACGAGCATTTCATCGGCTGAGAGGCCAGCGCTCAGAGGTCTGGGACTTTAAATAGCTGCACTGCAGTAACATCCACTCCACTATGAAGCCCAAATTCTCTGAGCAGGTCAGCCTAAAGGGACCGAATTGAATTTTCAGCCAGGGGTAAGGACATAGCTGGGGTCCTCGGGACACATAAAGGGTTGAGTTCGATGGAGCGCCTGCTCCAGACGAACTCCAGATGAAATCCCAATGGTGAGGAGCTTCCAGAAGCAAAACCCAGGTACGCGGGTTCAGGGACTAAGACTCCAGGTGACAAGGCGGCAGCAAAGATGGGCTGTCCCTTCCTGGTTCTCCAGTGGCTTGGGGTCCTGGCTGTCACACCCACCATCCTTCTGCATCAACAGCCTTGATCAAGGTCGCCCATATGAATCTCAAAATGGATTAGCTCCCTACAGGGATGTCTTTGGATCCCAACCATCTACGGTCACGGTCCTCCAGTTGTTCATCGATTTGCTCGAGGGGGCCCAGTAACGTCTCCTTTGGAGACTTTGTTGTTACTGTGTCTGGCATATCGAATACATCACGGGGAGCTTGCCAGGCTCTGCCGCGCGGGCGAGATACTCTCGGTAGCTTAACCAGCTACAATTTTAGAATTTCAGAAGTGCAGCCAGCCGCATAATAATAGAAACTAAATTATCCAGCATCTGCCCCTGGCAGGCAGGCAGGCAGGCTTGAACGGTGGTGGGAAAATTTGAAGTAACGGCGGTGGGAAAGGCGGAAGGGTGCTGGAACGGCTGTTGAACTATTGAACGTGATCAATTCACGTGAACAACCTTGTGAAAATGAAATTTTTTAAAAACAGGGCTGAGTTCATTCCAGCGCTCAAATCCTTCTGTCTGAGGCGACACCTCGGCGTACTGAGGGTGAGGGTTCTTCCTGGCTGGGCTCGGGGAGCTGCACGGAGTGGGGGGGGGTCGAACCCGGCCGGCCCCTCCCCACACTGCGGCCACAGGCGGGGCCGCACCCCACAGCGGGGCCCGCTCCCCAGCGCGTCGTCTTCGCTCGGGCCTCGGCGCCGTCCAGGGGGCTGTCGTCTCCGCGTCGCGTCTTCCTCACGCGGGTTCGCCTCACGTCATCTGAGGCGGGGGCTGTCACTCGGGGCGTCTCGCTGCCGGCCGGCTGCCGGGGACACTCTGCTCACCAGAGAAGCGGGGGACACTAACCGGGGGCACTAACGGGGGGTGGGTCGGGGGCGACCCCCGGAGCCCTTCACAGCGGGAGCCGCGCGTGTCGCCTCCGCGCGGCGTCCGGGCGGGGGCGAGGCCCTGAGAGGCCGCGGGCGGACGCCCCGACCGTCCCGTCCGCAAGGCCGGGCGACCCCGCCGGTGGCCTCCGGGGCCCCGTTCGGGAGACGGAGAAGAAACGCGCCGCAGACGCCGCCGAGGACAGGCGAGAGGCGACGACACGCCGGACGCCCCCAGCCACTTCCGGGTCCCGCCGCGGGGGGCGGGGCGGGGCGGGGCCTCGGGAGCGCGCGTGCGCCGGCGCGCCGGAAGCGACGATAGAGTCGTTTTGCCCCCGGACAGAGAGGCCGGAAGTCGTCGCTCCGGAGCAGCGCGGCCGCCGGGGCGGCGGAGCCGGGGCGCGTGTGCGGGCGGCTGCGGCAGCGGGCGGGGGGCGCGGGGACCATGGCGTCCCGGGCGGGCCCGCGAGCGGCCGGCACCGACGGCAGCGACTTCCAGCACCGCGAGCGCGTCGCCATGCACTACCAGATGAGGTAGGCGGAGGCCGGGGGTCTGCGCGCCCTCCCCGGCGGGTGCGGGGAGACCCCGGTGTGCGGCGGGCCGGGCCCCTCGGGGGCGGCTCCGTGGGGGCCCCGGGGCGCGGGGCTGCAGGGGCCGGGCCCCCGGCCGCGGCGGCGCTGCTCGCACCCCCCGAGCGACCCCTCAGCCTGACCCTCGCGGCGCACCTGGCCCGCACCTGGCAGCAGGTGCCGCGGGATCCTCCGGAAGAGGCGACGCAGACGCCGGCGCCCCCCGGCCCCCCGCCCGCCGCTGCCCATTCTCTGCACTGGCCGTTGACGCTGATCCTTTACTTACAGTCATTGAGTTCCTTCCAGAATGTTCTTCGCGCCTTTCGCTCCGGACTTCTCTAGCTGTTTATTTTTCCTTTCCCCTTGGGGAGGGGGGTAGTGTTGGGCCGCCCCCCAGGGTGCTCAGGGATCGCTCCCGCTGGTGCTCGCGGGTTGCTGTGCACTGCTCAGGGATGGATGGAGTCCTGTTGGGCCTGAGCCCTGGTCGTTTCTCTCCGGCGCCCTCCCTTCTCCCTTCCCCTTCCATCCCTCCTTTCCCCTTCCATCCCTCCCTTCTCTCTTACCCTTGCATTTCTCCCTTCTCTCTTACCCTCCCATACCTGCCTCTGGGGACCGATTCCCAGACAGTGGTTTCCTGCTCTCTGCGAGAAGAGACTTCAGTGCTTTGAAAATGTCCTCCCTGGCTGGAGAAACGTGCCCGGTCCACCTCCGTTCCACCCCCGTTCCCCGGCTGTAGCCTAGAGTCATCTTGGTAAACACCTGCCCGGTGACTCCTGGCCTGGCCCAGGTCTGCCCTAGTCATTGCAGCTTCATACCTCGTCCCTGGAAGCATCTTGCCACACGCTCTCCCTCACTCTCCGGGGACATGAGCACTGCGGTTGTCTCTGCTCCGAGAGCCTGTCTGCACCAGCCCCCCAGCCCGGCCACCCCCTCCAGCCGACCACCCCAACAGCGCAGACGGCTCCATCCCAGCCCCGGGGTGGGCAGCGACTATCTGCCTTTTCTGTTTTGTTTTGGAGTCATACTCAGTGGTGCTCAGGACTTATTCTGCATTTAGGGACAACTCAGGGATCACGCGTGGTGCCATCGATGGAACCCAGGTCAACCGGATGCAAACCTACCCTCTGTGCGCTCTCTCTGGCCCTCCGTTCATTTTCTTTTTCTTTTTTGTCTTGCTTTGTTTTGCTTTTTATTATTTAAGGTCCCATCTGGTGATGCTCAGGCTTTATAGGGTGCCGGGCATCAAACCCGAGTCAGCCACATGCAGAGCAAACACCCTCCCCTGGACTCACCCCTGCCTCTCAGTTCCCTCTCTAACGATCTCCGCCTCCCTCAGTTCCCAACGCCCAGTCTCTTGGCTGGAACAGGCCTCTCTCTCATGTCTTGTGTCTCAGGCCCACTCGTGGCCCAGCATGGCGCGGTGGCATAACAGCCCCCTCTCCCTCTGCTCTGTCCCGCAGCGTGACCCTCAAGTACGAGATCAAGAAGCTCATCTACGTACACCTGGTCCTCTGGCTGCTGCTGGTCGCCAAGATGGCCGTGGGGCACCTCAAGCTCCTGTCCCACGACCAGGTGGCCATGCCCTACCAGTGGGAGTACCCGTACCTGCTGAGCGTCGCGCCCTCCCTGCTGGGCCTCCTGTCCTTCCCCCGCAACAACATCAGCTACCTGGTGCTGTCCATGATCAGCATGGGGCTCTTCTCCATCGCGCCCCTCATCTACGGCAGCATGGAGATGTTCCCTGCCGCACAGCAGCTCTACCGGCACGGCAAGGCCTACCGCTTCCTCTTCGGCTTCTCGGCTGTGTCCGTCATGTACCTGGTGCTGGTGCTGGCAGTGCAGGTGCACGCCTGGCAGCTCTACTACAGCAAGAAGCTCCTGGACTCCTGGTTCACCAGCACGCAGGAGAAGAAGCGGAAGTGAGGCCCGCCTGGCCACCTCTGGCTCTGTGGGCATGGCCAAGAGAGGGGCCCGGGGTTCGGGCCTAGTCTCCTGGGGTGATCATGGATGTCACGCCAGTCCAGGAGCCCTGGGGAGTGCCCCATCGCCGTCGGTCACGGTGGCAGAGCTATGTTTAATTTATTCCCGCGCGGCTGGACCCAGATGGCCAGCAGCTGCGAACGCACTTCAGCTGGTGGGGGCGGCGCCTTTCAGGGTCTTATTGAGGCAGCCTCGTCCTGGCCTGTCCCCGGCCCTCATGGCAAGTGCTGAAGGAGGGAGTCGGGGGCTTCCTGCCAGCCGTTGTCTCTACTGCAGAGCATTTTCATTCAAAAGAACTTCAATAAAGTTTTACCCACCCTAAGTCCCCTCCGCCTATGTCTGGGATCTGACAGGGTGACGGGCGTGTTGCTTGAGTGACCTCGGGCACTGGGAAGGAGGTGAATGCTCCCGGGAGGCCGGGCAGTGGCCATAGAGAAGTGACCCGGTAGTGGCCCTGCAGCTGTCTCGGCGTTTCCACCTGTGAAATAAATGGGTGTGTGTGTGTGTGTGTGTGGTCACACCTGACTTGGCACTCAGGGATCTCGCCCGGCAGTGCTCAGGGGTCCATATGTGGTGACGGGGATTGAAACAGGGCCAGCTGCCTGTAAGGCAAATTTCTTCCCCCAGGTACTCTCTGGTTGCTATGGGTTCACTTTGAGGGCCCCTGCTTGGGTTCGAGTTCGTTCAGTCTGCTGTTCATCTCTGCCCATCTGTGTTTGCGGCCCTGTCTCTGATACGGCATGTGATGGAACCAGAGCAGGCCTGGCGGCTGGCGTGTGCTGTTCTGTGGAAAAAGGCCTGAAGGTGGTGCCCACTGGCATGGGACGGAGACTCACAGGAGAGGAAGCCCGAGAGCGTGAGCTGAGGCCCACCCAGACTTCTCACCTCCTGCCTCCTCCTCGTCTCTCCTGCTCTGGATGGTGCCAAGCCTCAGGCTGCAGGTGTCTATTCTCAGAGTTGGTTGGGTTTTGTGCTGTAGATGTTAGGTGTGTGTCACTAACACTGGTTCCATTGGGCCTCTGTTCGCAGAACCTCTTCCTCTTGGGACCAGACCAATAGTACAACAGGCAGGACTCTTGCCTTGCACGTGGCTAACCCAGGTTCAATACCTGGGCCCCCAGGTGGTTGCCTGAGTCTGCCAGGAATGATTCCTAAGCACAGAGCCAGGAGAAGCCCTCAACACTGCCAGGTGTGGCCAAAAAAGCCTCTTCCTTTTGTTCTGAATATCTCAAACCCCGCGTGCCCCCAGCTCACTCCTGTCTCTCCCTGGCACCCTTTGCTCTTCCTGCTGTGCCAGGAGCTCAGCCCCTCATTGCTGGGCTCATGCTGTGTTTTTTTTTCAGTACGAGCCCCCACCCCGTGCTCGTGTCGCCGCCCCCCCCCCCCCCCCCCCATGCCGCTGCAGAGCTGCCCAAGAAACTCTCTCAGCACCGTATCTCCTGGCTTCCTTTGCTTAAACATTTCCCTTTTCAAGGCCGGGGATGCAGCCCAAGAGTGCCTCAGTTTGACTCCCCCACCGCCTCAGCAGCTCTGCCAACTGGTTTCCCAGTGGCACTGGCATCAGGTTCATGATAGTGAACATGTCGTGGCCCTGCCTGGGCACTGCCCATAGGATTGTGTCACACTGGCCGGGCGCGGGAGGGCTGGGAGCACCCCCACAGAGGGGGGCGTGGGCTGAGTGCTCCTGGGAAGAAGTGAGGACCGGCACGGCATGGGACTGCTGTCCACAGCTAAGTGAGCCCCACAGCTGGCCTGTGTGCGCCCCCTGGTCATGGCACAGCCAGAAAGGGAAGGGGAGGAATGGTAGCACCTGGGGCCAGGGAGCTAGGTCAGAGGGGAGGGCACTCGCCTTGCAGGCGGCTGATAACCAGTTCTGACCCCAGCACCACATATGTTCCCTCCAGCCACTGAGCCCTGCAGGGGATGACCCCAGGCACACCCTCCCCCAAACAGAAGGAGCAAAGGCACAGTCCGTGCCTAGCATGGTCAGACCCTGACTTGGTCCCCACTCCACTGCCCGGCACCCAGCGCTGGCTGGATGCCGATGTCCCAGCTCTGGCGGGCGGCTTCTTGTCCCTTTTGCCTTCAGACCTTTACTTTGTCTTTGGTTTGTTCTTTGGGCCACAGCCCGCGGTGCTCAGGGATCACTCCCAGCAGGGCTTTGGGAACCACGGGACAGTAGGGGTCCAACTCTGGTAGCCCTATGCACACCAGCCCCTCCCCGCTGAGCTCTCTCCACGCTGCTCTGACACTTGTGTGTCCTCTGCCCTTCAGTACTGTGTCCGGGGCCAGGCAGAGCCCTTGTCTCGAGTGTGTGGGCCGCCGGATTCCGTGGCCGGCACCAGAGAAGAGCAAAGTTCCCCGGGAAGCTCCCAGCGTGCTGCTGTCTCAGATTCAAGCACGGGGCTTCGCATTTCCGGGGAATTGCCCTGCACCTCTGACTGTCACAGTGGTTTGTGTTCATCTTTCCCCGTGCCTAGAACCTAACATGAGGCATATGCTTGCCACTGACCTCACTGAGGGCCGGGCGTGCCAGCAGGCCGTGTGCAGAGGAGTGCGCTGATCGGAGCTGGAGCGCGGTGAGTGCAGAGACCGATGGAAACGCGTGGACACCAGCGAGCCCCCAGGTGTCCTGACTCGGTCTCAAAGCCAGGGCTCTTCCCTGTCCTCCCGCAGGCACAGCTGCAAAGGCCACTGAGCTCTCTCCGGCCCACACATTGCTAATTTTCAAAGAGCAGAGATGCGGCGGCTAAGCAATGGCAGAGCGGGCAGGGCACTTGCCTGGCACGCAGCCCACCCAAGTTCAATCCCCAGCACCCAATATGGTCCCCTGAGCACTGCGGGCTATGACCCAAAGAACAGCAACAACAATGACAACAAAAAGAACAGAGTTGCAAATAATTATTACTAAAGAAAATAATTCTCTCCGATAGTTAAGGTGATACTTAGGCCCATTGTAAAAATGATTGTGAATGTGGAAAGTCATTTGGTTTATATTATTCTGTGGGAGGGCTGGAGCGATAGCACTGCGGTAGGGCGTTTGCCTTGCACACAGCCGACCCGGTTGACCCGGGTTCAATTCTTCCACCCCTCTCGGAGAGTCCGGCAAGCTACCGAGAGTATCTTGCCCACACAGCAAAGCCTGGCAAGCTACCCGTGATGTATTCGATATGCCAAACACAATAACAAGTCTCACAACGTTACTGGGCTCACTCAAGCAAACAATGGGAGGACAGTGACAGTGACAAGTAATTCTATGGGGAGCATACCCGTTGGTTTGTTTTAATTTTTTGTTGGATTGCTGGGAATTTACTTTGCTGGGCTTCTTTGATGTTTTATCCCTATGTTTTCAGGTTTCCCTGTGCAAGCGAGATCCCTGTGAAAGAGGCCTTGGTTTTGTGGGAGGAGCACTGTGTTTAGATCAGAACACTGCAGTTCACATACCAACATACCAATTGCATGAATAAATCAGCCTCCAGGGCCAGAGGAGTGGCTCAGGGCTCAGGCTCATGCCTGTAGTCTGAAGCCCTGGATTTCATCCCTAGAAACGCACATGTGCGCAAACACACACACACATACACACACATACACACAGAGCCCTGCCTGTTTCACAGATTTTTTAAATTTTAATTTTATAAAGTTGTCACAATAATTTATTACATTCAGTATTCCAACACCAGTCCCACCACCGTCACACCTTCCCACCGCCATTATTTCACATTTTCCAACCACCACCCAACCCTGCCCCAATAGCAGGCCCTAAATAATTTAATTTGTATTGCCTGGCTGTCCTCACCAGGGCCCCTTGGAGGAGGGTGGGTTGAGTTTCCCTCCCCACCCCAAGCAGAGCCCTGGCAGCTGAAGACCTCCCATTTCAGCCACAACCATGTTTAAGACCACTCTCCACACGTTCAGACGAGCCTCACACATGAAGGAACCGGCAGAGGAACCCAGGGGTGCAGGACCCGGGGCGTAGTTCTCCAAGCCTGCTGGGATTGGGACTGGGCCTCCTCCACCCAGATCCCCCATCTTCCAGTATGTAGGCGTTACACCCACCAACTGCCCCTGGCGCCGTGTAATCCCATCAACGGCCAAGACCCAGAGACTATAAAACCCAGCTCCCGGAAGCGGCCATGCAACATCTTATTACCTAGTTCTTCCTCTGGAGGATCTGGCAGGCTGCCGAAAGTATCCGGCCCACATGGCAGAGTCTGGCAAACTCCCCGTGGTGTATTCAGTATGCCAAAAACCAGTAACAATGATGGGTTTCATTCTCCTGACCATGAAAGAGCCTCGAATGTGGCACTTTCTAAAATCTCAGGGCTGGGGCTGGAGCGATAGCACAGTGGGTAGGGCGTTTGCCTTGCACGCGGCGGACCCGGGTTCGATTCCCAGCATCTCATATGGTCCCCCGAGCACCGCCAGGAGTAATTCCTGAGTGCATGAGCCAGGAGTAACCCCTGTGCAAAGCTGGGTGTGACCCAAAAAGCAAAAAAATAAATAAAAAATAAAAAAAAACCTCAGGGCTAGGACGAAGGAGACATTCCTGGGGCCTGCTCAAGGAAATCAATGAACAGGATGATAGTGATACAGTGTATTTCTTGTTATAAATAATTCACTAAAAATGATCAAAAAATATGTCCTTAAGAGAAAGCATGTGAAGATTGTTGTATCTCACCCTGGAGCCAGTAAGTCCTTGTAGAAGAGATTACTAACAGGTTGAGACTTGAGTGCTAATATTTTGAACAAGATTGGTTGCCTTCTACTTTCCATCTCATCCAACGTGGTGTACTTCTCTTGGTATATCAGTGATGTAGGCAGATCGATAGGGAAAGGCTCTCTGCAATGAAACAAAGTCTCATGGAAGAAGAATTCTAGGACCGACCCACCCTGTGGACACAGAGAATAAAGACTTGATGAGACCATCCCCAGACCCTGAAGATATGGGCCTCCTCCCCATGAAATTCCTCCTTTCCAAAAACCCCCTTTCAATCCGGTTAACTCCAGCGACCCAGGCCCAAGGAGATTCCAGGACATTCCAAGTCAGAAGATTCTCGAACCCCCTTTCAATCCGGTTAACTCCAGCGACCCAGCCCCAAGGAGATTCCAGAACATTCTGAGTCAGAAGGATC